ACCCATCCTTAGCCCCATAGATGCTTTTACTGTCCTTGTGGGATCCCCATCCAAACTCTTCCCTCGGTGACCCCTCATCTCTCTCCTCCAATCTCCATTACCTTTGTCCAGGGTCGCACTCTGCCCTGTCTTTCCGAGGCTCCTCCACCTAGAGCCCCCTGTCAGGCATCAGGGTCTCTAGCCCTGCCCTTCCCCATCCCCCCTGCACTCCCAGGGAGTTGCTTCTGCTGCCAGGGGAGAGCAGACTGCACCTGCTTTCAGCCCCCCGCCTCTCCTGTCATGCTCCTGCTGGCCTAGTCTTCCCTCCCCTGACCTTCTTTCAGCTCCCCTAGCCTTGTTCCAGGTAGGCAGGCTCTTCCTGGAGAAAGGGCAGGTGGGTGGACCCTGTGAGGGGCAGCACACCACATGGCATGGCTGACAGTCACCTCCCAGCCCCTCTCCTCCCTGTGTGTGACTGTGTGACTCCAGGAACCCAGTGCTCACTGTACTGTCGCTTTGTTTGTAAAATGAGGACAGCCATGGACCTTGGAACTCGGCCGTGGATTAAGTGAGCTCATGTGTAAAGTACAAGGTGACTCCCACGGCACCCAGGCAGACCTGGCAGGCAGAGGGCTGGGAGGCAGGTCAGTCATCTAGCATTTAGCAGTCCAGGCAAAACTTGTTTACAGGGGATGCATGATAGGCAATAGTTCAGGGGCCACAGACCCATCATGCAAGTTTTCACTTGTTCATTTGACACGTTTATTTGTTGAGTGCTCATGCTGTACCTAGCCCAGGTATTGGCACAGGTCCCCAGCAGTGGGGTGTCAGACAGCTTCCTGCCCTAAGGGCTCTGCCCCGTGGGAGCTGGGTAGGGGTTGGGGGTGCCCACACCTACGCATTACCGTGGAGCCATCAACCTGCAGTGAATGTCCCCAGCTGTCTCTGTCACTGTCTCAGATTTGCTGCTGGGAGCCAAGGGTAGGTCTGAGTTCAGAAATAAGGGTCTCACTGTAGGCAGGAGGGAGGTGCAGTAGGAAGCATCCCAAAGCAATGCTTAAGGCGCACATACAACAGCACAGCTTGGGAATCCTTGAAATGCAGATTTTCAGGTGCCAAAAGGTCTGAATTAGAATACCTGGGGTGTAGCTCAAATGTCTGCCTGTTGACATCCTCCCAGCTGCTCTGGCATACACTAGGTCATCAGGTCACTTGGGACAGGCCTCTGGAGGACTTTGCTTAGTGGGGACTTTGCTTAGTGAGGACAGTGATACTTGAGCCTGGTTGTATCCATATCTGAAAAGAGACTCTAGTTCTTCAAAAAAAAAAAAAAAAAAAACACTGAGATTTTGTCCTCTGTGTAATCTAAGCACCCTTCAGACCACACCCACCTCCCACTCCTTAGAGTGCAAAATAACCCAGTGATACAGAGGACCCAACTGGGCCCAGACCTGGGTGAACCAGCAGGGGACAGGGTGGGCCATAGAGTGGGTGTTCATTCATGTGCTCACGCCCAGTGCCAGATTTGCATGTGTGTTTTGTGTTCTTTCTCTTGCTGGAAGTCATGTGTTTTCCTCAGAAGAGATGGAGAAATGGGCTAGAGCAGCTAGTGTGGGTTGAGGCAGCCCTGGACCCTGGTCGATCTGGCTTGAGAGTTCCAGCTCTTTTTGAAGGTTGTGAGTGTTGGGGTGGTGTGGGCTGCACTATATTCCCCAAAGTGAATAGAGGAGGACTTGGGGGAGGGGGTGCCACTCACCTCCTTGTCCCTAAGCTCTACTTACTGTTCCTTCCAAATTTGTCCCTGATAATGTCCTCCTAGATAGCATCAGTGATAACTGTGATTTATAATAAAAGAAGAGGTTCTGGAGGCTGCACTTATTGCATCTATTGGCAGTGGTTAAGGGTTGACGCAATCATGCCTGTGCAATGACGACTCAATGCAGTCCCCAAAAGGACAGAGTTTGGAGGGCTTCTAGGTAGCCGAACACAGCTACACCAGGAGACTGATGACCTCCTGGCAACAGAGCTCCTGCACTCGGGACCCTCCCAGACCTCGCCCTGTGTGTCTGTTCATCTGTGTCCTTTAATAAGTTTGTAAACATAAGTTATATAACTCATATTTTCCTGTGAGCTACTCTAGCAAATGCACTGAACCCAAGAAGAGGTCGCTTTTATGGGGAAAATCCTCTACACATTTGGTGATCACAAGCCCAGATGTGAAGGGTTCTGTGTGTTGTGCCAGGTTCGAGTTTCCCAAAGACCACCAAGGAGCTGATTCTGATGCAAAGCACACGAGGGTCTTTATTGCAAGCTCGAGCCTGGGCTCCCAACATGCAGGGAAGTAGCAGCTGAAGTTGAGAGCCCTGAGCTCAGGGAAGGCAGAGTTTTTATTACAGAAGAGGGGAGTTTTTGCTCAGCCGTACATTGATCGGTGGACATTGAACAAAGTTATCTTGTCTTAACCCGGTTGGTCTATGCATGTAAGACGTGACCTTCACTACTCGACCTGCATACCTTAGGACATCTGGAGTTTTCCTGATATGTACTGGTTACTTGCCTACTTGCTAACTGGCTGTTGCTATGGGATGAGCAAGATTAGGACATTTACAGTTAAACTCGGCCTTGGCGCCTTGTTGATAACCGAAACTTAGGCCTGGCTGGTTCAGAAGCATTCTGAAGCCTGTCATGGCGTCAGGTTGGTCTATCATGTGCAAAAGTAGAGGAGGTTCATCGAGGGGAGAAGTACACAGCAGGGAAGGACTTCTCTGGACACTATTTTCCTCTCCCTAAGAAAGGAAAAAATCAAGGTGTTTCCTTTATAGCATGAATCCTGTCACAGGGGCCAGCTTCCCTGCATTTCTTTCTGTGAGATAAATTTCAGGAGAATTGGTGGATGGTTATTTTAAATGATCATTTTAAAAGAGAATTTAATAAAGGAATCAAACACATGGATGAACTAAATAAAATGAACATAAATGTTTAGACTATAGGACCACTAAATGGTTCTAGAAGAAAAGAGGGAAGGAGTTGGATAAATCAGATAAAAGGGATCAATAGTGTAGCTAAGGATGGAATTGGACTTTTAGTTGTGAACTTAATGTGGATTTTTAATCAATATGAAACTCATATGGTGTCAGAATGCAATGATACTGCAATAAAAATAACTTAACTAAATAAAAGAATGCAAGCATAACTTTCATACAAGTATAAAGTGAATGCCTGGCAAACATTTCTTATAATTAATGAGAGAACCAAGAAGTTATATATTCGTTTGTAAGAAAATCCCAAGTGTCATACTTATAAGGCAGAATGGTAAAAATTTATAAATGAATCAAAGCTAGTTTCATAAATTTAGTCCAATTAAAATACAATTATTCAATTGTACAAGTGCTAACACAGTAAAACAATAAATTAGGGTCTTTGGCTCTACAGTTAGCTGTATTTCAATTTGACAAAATTCAATTGCTAGCCTACACTGTGTCAAATACCTGCAAAATAACTCAAAGCCAATGAAAGGCCAAAAAGACCCATACAATCAAACAAGCCAAAGGCTATACTGTTAAAAGGCCTGATTATACACTGAAGACAGCCAATAATCTTTTAAGTTTCATTTCCAGATCTTTTAGTTACTGGAAGTGGGTCACAAATCTGACTCTGAACTTCCCAGCAGCAAATCAAAGAGGAATCAGCTTCCATATTCACTGTCTAGAATGACACGTATAGGATTGTTGTCCACCATGTATTCAGCTTCTCATTGCCAAGGTTTTCCTTCAGGCAGGGACTTCTGAAACTCTTTAGAAGCATCAAAACATCAAGTTGGAAAGTAACGTCCCTGACCAAAATCCTACTACAATCGCGGTAAAGACTTTGATTAGTGTGTTCTGTGGCCAGGGTGGCGGTTCTCAAAGGTATGGTCTCAAACCAGTGGTATCAGCCTCACTTGGAACTTACCAGAAATACAAGCTCTGGAGTTCCACCCAGACTTGAGGGATGGGCAGGAAAATCTATTTCAACAAACCTTCTGGGTAGTTTTGAAGCAAGCTGAACCTGAAAGTAGTGCCACAGGAGTTCTCCAGGCTGCCAGTTCGATTAGGCTTGACTGGCTTTAACACAGTATCATGCCTGGGCTCCACCCATGACCAGTCAAATCAGGACCCTTGGGTGCAGGCCTATTACAAATGCTTTCAAAACTTAGCAGATGGTCTCAGCTAGAATGGAGGCCCACCCACCTCGTGGTTTACTGTAAGTCAAGCTCAAGAGATTGCCATCTTCTGCTTGAGAGAACTTCAGACCTGACCTTGTGGGGCTTGTATGAGATCACATGTGTCCACTCTCCCTCCTTCCCTCACAGCTTCTATACTGAGCACTGGCTATGTGGCTGTCAGCATCTAAGGTGAAAAGCCATCTTAGACGCCACTGATTTCTGATCTCAAGGAGTCAAAGCTGTTGGTGAGGAAGCGAATCTTCCTCTGTCTCCTAGGTCTGTACAACTGGTAAATAATTAAATCAACACAAGACAGATTAGCAGGAGAAAAGGCACATAATTACCTGTACACAGAGGCTCTTGGAACCTATACTCTGGCCAACACAACGAGGTTATCTAGTTCTTAAAAAGGGGGTAATAATTTGGAAGAGAAAGGCAGAACAAATTTTTGCAATTTAAAAAGGAATTTTGCAGGGTTTATTTACATACGAAAATAGACCTTGCAAATCCTAGCCTGGAGCAGAATCTCTTCCTTCAGAACAAAGAGATTCATTTCTTATTTTCAGGTAGACAATTTGGCAAACCACCATTGCTAGCCCTATTGTTTCTCAGTTGCCTTCAGCTCAGAAGAACACAATGCCACCCGGGCGGGGGCATCCTGGGGCAGCTGGTCCGTGGTGGTCACCCATCCCATGACTGATAGTAACTGCTGGGCACTGGGGACTGGCCAGGATGCAGGGGTGTTGCCGCTGACGGGGTAGTGGGGACCTTCGGCTCTCACCCTGACCCTGTCTGACACTGCGGGTCTTCTCGGCAGGATGCGAGGGGCAGTGGGACAATATGAGCTGCTGGCCTGCCTCTGTGCCCGGACGCACCGTGGAAGTGGAGTGTCCGCGATTCCTCAAGATGCTCACGGGCAGAAACGGTAACCACTCGGTCAGGCTTCTGGCTGAAAGGCTGTGGGGTGTCTCGGGTGGACTCTCACCCAGCAGCATAAGGCCAAGGAAATTTCTCTGGGGACAAGCTTTGAATGAGGCGTAGGGCCCTTGCCAGCAGGCTTGCTTCCGGCGCATTGTGTGGGGTCACCGCTCAGCGTCCCCACTGAGAGGGCAGAAGGCAACGTCCTGGGCACTGAGAAAGGAGGCTGGGCTTCTTTCAGCCCCATGCTCCTGCTAATGCAGCCCCCTGCTTCCTGCCACGTTGCTGCCCCTCAGCTGGGCCCTTGCTCTAGCCCTGTGTCTGGCTGCCACTCCGCCACTGCCTGGCCCTCCTCTGAGCCCCTTCTGCCAGCCTCTGCTGAAAAGCTAGGCCTGCTCTGAGAGCCCCTGGCCCCCTAGGGGAGCTCTGATTAGAGGAAACCTGCAGTCGACAAGGGTCCTCTTACTTCTAGGCAGAACGTGAGGATGCTGTTTCAGATATATGTGAGCACCTGTAGCCACCACAAAACCCTACAAGTCAGAGACCTTTTCTCCCCAACTTGAACAATTAGGACCAATAATATAGGGGCAGGGAGGGCTTTAGCAGTCTGCCTCAGTGCCACAAGCAGCAGATGGAAGAAGTAGGACTCAATCCCAGTATTTTTTCTCTGATTTCCAAACCTGTGATCTGCCCTTCAGGTCATGGTCAAGGTCAGTCTGTGACTGCATAGTGGGGGTGACCTTCAGTGAGACAAGGTAGTTTCATAGATGGTATAACACTAAAACCTCATACCTTCCAAAGCCAGGCAAGAGAAGGGTGAGAAGCATGGGTGAGGAGCATAGACCTGTCATGACGTCATCCCATGTGATGGGTGAGCACACAAGTGCATATCTGCGGGACAGGCTGTTGTAGTTCACTGTCCCTCTACACCTCACCTAATTTATGCCCCAGGACATGAGAACTGGAGGGGAGCAGGCAGACCAGTTTGAACCCCAATCCTCCCCTTACTGCTGCATGGGTAGCTGTGGTGATGGAGAGGTCCCCCAGGCCTGCCAGCCTTCATCCAGTGTTTGCCCATCTGAACTCCAAACTGGTGTTCCTTCTCCACGTGTGGTTCTGGTACCCCAGCACCTTACTATTTTCATTGCAACACACAGCTTCCATACAGACTGGTGAAGGGCACAGGCCCCAGAGGCTCATACAGGGGAGATTTTGAAGGACCAAGCCTATGAATTCTTCTTCTTCTTTTTTTTTATTTTTAAAAATTTATGGTACAAAGGGCCCTCTCTGGTGGTGCACTAGGTTAAAGCACAGCACTGTGAAGCTAGCTGCCGCTGCTTAAGCATGAGTTCGATCTCCAGCCAGGGAGGTGACCCACATGGCCTGGCTGACCTCTCCTGATCCTCCCGCTGCTCCCCTCAGCAGTGTACTTCATCAGTCGGCCTGTTCTGCTCCCTGCTTTGTCTCTGGTGAATCCTCTCACTGCACCTCTGCACCTGTACCCCAGTTCTGTACACATAAATAAATAAATCTTAAAAAAAAAATGAATTTATGCGTACAGAACTGGGGTACAAGCCAGAGGCTCAGGGGCAGTGAGAGGCTTCACCGGAGACAGAGTGGGGAGCAGAACAGGCAGATCAACGAAGTATGCTGCTGAGGGGAGCAGCGGGCGGGTCAGGAGAGGTCTGCTGCGCTGGGACTAGGGATTGAACTCACACTAAGGCAGCTGCCGCTCGCTTGCAGTGCTGCATCCTAACCCACTGTGCCACCAGGGAAGGCCTCAAGCCTGTAAATTCTACCACTCTGCCTGTATTGCCTGTGCCAAAACTAGCATATAGCAACATTTAACTGCAAGGGACATGGGAAGATGTGGTCTAGCAAGTTAATCATCATCCCTGAGCCTAAATAGCTGCCTTCTATAGAAGGGGGAGAATAAAAAAAAATCCTAGTCTTGTAAAATTGTGCTTGGGAATAAATGCTAATTGTCTTCCTTTTTCCCTTCGCTCCCTTCTTCACGCTTTTTCTCCTCTACTCTTTCCCCAAGCCACCCACAGGCACACATGCTGCAGATTTACTATGAGACTTTATCTCCTGGCGTGTCCCTTCTGTGTCTGTCTCTGGGGTCTGTGGAGCTGAGGACACAGGAGATGAACCCAGTCATGGCTGACGTGGGCAAGGTGGACAAGTGCCGGGTCTGCACCAGGCCCTGGTCTCTGACCCCCTGTCCAATGCTTCTCCCTGGCTCTGCCTTTCCCAGCCCTCCACAGTGCCCTACCGCCTTCTCCCACTCCTGCCCTCATGTGGAGGGGCCAGGCAGAGCCCTGTGAATGGCCACATCCCTCTCCAATTTCTTCACTCCCTGCTCACCTCATTAACTAGAAGCCCACTGTCTTATCCTTAAGACTCCCTATCCTTGAAAAACTCATGGTCCATTGGGAATCACGTCTGCATGATGTCTGGAAGGAAACTGGGGGCCTATGCCTACCTCCACTGTGGTGCAGTTCCTCCTCTCTGCCACACGATGTCGCTGTGGGGCTGCCAGCATTTCCACATAGCTCCAAAGTGCTGGGTCCTCCAGACTCAGGCTCCCTGGGTGGTGGGGAGGACCATCTTACCCCACCCACCGCTCTGCTCATGCTGGGTCCCAGATCAGGGCACGCGCTAGCCCAGGAGCACAAGTCAGGACTGATCTTCACTTAGTCACCAAGAACTCCCCTCCTGCCATCACCCATTCTCACCATAGGTCTACCAGCAGATCAGGTTAGATCCTAGCCCCTTTATGTGCTCTCAGGAAGGGTGGTGTCTTGCAGGATTTCAGGGCTCCCCACCCCAACCCAGGGACGAGCACCCAATGAAGAATACATGGTGAGAACAAGTTGATTTCTTTTTGAAAGGAAAAACACATTAAATTTTTCTTGGCACTCCCACTATATGGCCCCAGACAGGAAGGGTGTCCATGTGACTGGAGATTCCAGCCCATGCAAGCTGGAATCTGCTCTAGATATTTTTCTGTTTGTACCAGGGCCTAGAATGTTCTCTCTAGGATGCATTCCTATGATTCCAAAAAGTCTTCCAGAGTCCCTTATTTAAAAACACATTTGCTGGGCATGATCAGAGTTTGACTTTCTGTCCTGTCTTAGTGGGAGGCCTTCAAGAGGTAGGGGTTCCTAATTGAATTAGTGTCCTGGAGACTTTGCACATGGGATAAAAGCTTTGCACTGGCTCTTCCCCGAACTGAATGTGTGGATATGCACAAAATATAGCTGTGTTTTCAGCAACCCCGGAGATATATACCCTGTCTGTGAGGAACAAAGCCCAGGGACATGGGTAGGGCTGAAGGAACTCCTGAGAGAGCCCCACCCTTTTCTCTCTTGCAGTTCTGCCCAGTGCCGGTCAGCAAGGGCACTGCCCAGAGAGCCCTCTGGGCACCTAGCCTGGATCACATGAAGCGTCTGTCTTGGGAATCCTGCTAGGTCAGCGAGGAGAGGGCCCCCAAACAGGCAGCCCAGCCTCCAAGCACGTGCTGTCTGGTAACCAGTTCCGAGCTCAAGGAGTTTGTGTTCTCTCAATTCACCTTCCTGTCCAACCTGCCTAAATTTGACCAGTATGTTTCCCGTCTGACAACCTAGCCCCCTTGACTTTATCACAGAAAGCTTCTACCCCTCTCCTTCATTCCAAGGCTCCAAGCCCCCCACCCCACCACCTCCTCCTGGTCTATTTTAGAAAGGCCAAGAGGACCCAAAAGCAAAGTGATGGTGCCAGCTCTGTGCCCAGCTCTAGTCTGGGCAGCTTCCTGTGCTCTCATGTTTCCTATGCTGCCTGTATTGTGGCTGACGATTCCCATGCGGCACAGAGAAGTAACAGAGCTAAGTGATTCCGACCAAGGGCAGCAGTGGTCATAGTCGAACTCTGATCTGGCTGTCTCTAATCCTGTGCTCCTGAGCTCCCAAAGCTAGTGGACCTAGAACCCAAGGCCGCAGTCTCCTGGTGCTGGAAGTCATCTGTGCCACCAAGGAAGGTGCCACACAGGAGAGTGGCGCAGTAGTGGGGCTTGGCTGGCTGGGCACAGCGGTGCAATTGTGGGGATTGGTTTCTCTGTCTGTACAATAGGCCAGCAGCAGCCCCTTGCTGGGGACTGTGAAGATTAGATGAGCATCTGTGTTAGCTTAGAGGCCAGTTCTAGAAACAGCGGCCATATGTCTCCATTTCAATGCAGTCTGTTTGACCCTAGACCCTGCGAGACTGGGGCCCTGACATTGTTGGAAAGGAGCCTGTCAGTTTGCCCAGGAGCGGTAAAGGGGCCCGTGGAGAGGGCTTGAGTTAGAGTAGATCCTAACTCAATCCCCCTGGCACAATCCCCATCTGCAGGGCTGTGAGCGATCCCCTGCTCCCTCACAGTGCCTAGAGCTAGGCTGGGTCTCAGCACTTGATTTTCAGAGGCTGGGAATCAGGCCCCAAAGAGAGGTGTAAAATTTAACTTCCTTGGAGCAGGAATCCTCACAGCCAGGCCTGGAGGACATTAATTATGGGAGAAACCAGGTCTTTGCTCATCATAGCATGTTCTCCTGGGGACCTGCCCATTAAATGACTGTAGAACCTGGGAGGGTGCTCTCAGCGGGAATAAGGGGGTTAGTATATAGAACATGGCAAAATGTATGCGCTGGGGTACAAATCTCCTTGTCCCCATTTGCTGCAGTTATTTCACCATTACATGCCTCAGTTTCCCCACCTTCCCCTACTTTCAGGAATGTTCCCAACTACTTACCTTATTACACTAAATCATCTGTTTGTGCTACACATGTCTGTCTCATTAAATTATGAGTTTTCTGGGCCCTCCCTGGTGGCGCAGCGGGTTAAAGCACAGCACTGAGAAGCTAAGGCCATTTTAGCCTGAGTTCGATCACGCCTGCCCCAGAGGTGACCCACATGGCGTGGCAGAACTCTCCTGACCCGCCCGCTGCTCCCCTCAGCAGTATGTTTCCTCAGTCTGCCTGTTCTGCTCCCCGCTCTGTCTCTGGTGAAGCCTCTCACCGTCCCTGCACCTCTGGCCTGTACTCCCATTCTGTATGCATAAATAAATCTTTAAAAATATACATATGTGAGTTTTCCAGCCATGGGTATAGTGTTTATATGTTACAGTAGATTTTACTAAAGAAATAACAGTGCCCACCCTCTAGTCTTACTAGGATTAAATGGGTGACTACATGCACATGGTTAGAACAGTGCCTGGTACGTAGTAATGACCATGTATTATTACAGCAGAGCATGAAATTTTGTAGCTGAGCAAATGCATAATTGATACAAAACCACTTAGGCTACATTTTTTTTTTTTTAAGATTTATTTATTTATGCATACAGAACTAGGGTACAGGCCAGAGGCTCAGAGGCGGTGAGAGGCTTCACCAGAGACAGAGTGGGGAGCAGAACAGGCAGATGGACGAAGTACACTGCTGAGGGGAGCAGCGGGCGGGTCAGGAGAGGTCTGCCGTGCCATGTGTATCACCTCCAGGGCAGGGATCAAACTCATGCTGAAGTGGCTTTAGCTTCTTAGTGCTGTGCTTTAACCCGCTGCACCACCAGGGAGGGCCCAGGCCACATTCTTAAACACAACATTGGGCCTCTCTAATCATGCAAGATACCATAACTCCTTAAAAAAATAATGGTGTCCACAGCATGGTGTTAGTATTATTTGCTGGTGTGCACCAGGTGGTTGGGGAGCAGCCCACTGCTTTAGGAAAACCCTTAAAAAGCCAAAAATGGCACTCCGCCAGTGAGGGTGGAAGGAGAGTAGGGGGAGTCCCTCCTGGAGCACCCAGTGCCCGTGGACCTGAGTGAAGATCTGGAGCCTGGGAACAGTGGGGTGAGTGGGGTGGGAGCAGACAGCCAAGGGTGATGTGGGCTGGACTCCAAGGGTGACAAGTTGGGGTGGGGAGCAGAGACACTGGGCATTCTGCAGGGACCTGGGATCTGGAATATTGAGCACTGTGACATGTGTCCATCAGTATTACTCATCTTCAGAGCTCTGGTGCACAGTGGGGGTCGGCGGGGGGTAGGGGGGTGGGAAGTGCAGGATGTGGGGTTGTGGATGAGTTTGATGGAGGCCCGGGGAAGACACAGGCACTGCTGGAGGCTTGGAGGGCTGGAGGGCTGGGAGGCAGTGTGTGTGCAGAGTTGGCCTGAGTTCTAGATCAACAAGTCTGTTCTCACTCTCTCTCTCTCACGTACACGCACACACATAGGCACCAATCTTGGGGGCCATCTGTCTATAGAGTCTTGCCTACCACTTCTCCAACTGACTGATACATCCTTGGAGAAGCAGCTGGGCTTAGTGACAGCTGACTGTGTAGTCCTGAGAAAGGGCTGGGGCCAACCAGGGACAAAAGGCAGCTTTGGGCTGCCCTTACCAAGGGCCAAGAGCACCCAGGAGACTGGATCTGTCTGACCTGCAGGATGCTTGGCACCCACAGGTACCATGTTTCGAAACTGCACACGGGACGGCTGGTCGGAAACCTTTCCCAGGCCTGACCTGGCCTGTGGGTTTAACGTGAATGACTCATCCCACGAGAAGCGGGTAAGCCTGTCCACCTCCCTCCCTTCTGGTGAGAAGTTCATGGGCAAGGACTGAGTGGAGCCGCCCCCAGGGCCTCGGTCAGGCCCCTAGGGGCCACTCCTCTCAACATGCTCCCCTATTGTTTGGATTGTGTTTTTCTATTGTTGGAATGTCTTTGTTCTCTTTTAACAAATGCTGGTGAAAGTGTGCCTCTGTTGACCTTCTGTTTTTAATCTCCTCCCCTGGCACACTTTGTGATTGACAGACACCAAGAGCAGACTCAGGTCCTCAGGAAGACCATGCCACACTGCCTCTGGGGGAAAAATAAATGATGACTAAAATGCTCACTTAGAGCAGAACTTGACTCAGCTCTTGAGCAAAATCTGGCCCAACAGCCACTTTCACAAATAAAGTTTTATGGAAACATCACCACACCCATTAGCACTGCTAGGGCAGAACCAAGCAGTTGCAGTACTCAACGCCTAAAATCTATACAATCCATCCATTTATGGAAAAGTCTGCTTGCTCCTGATCTAAAGGATTCAGAAGGAAGGCTGTCCAGTGAAGGGATGCAGCAGAGAGACAGACAGCTTGATCCAGGACAGACAGCATTGAGGCTTCTGAGATGCCAGGCCTCTGGAGGAGTGTGCACACACAGTGAGATGTCAGGACTGGAGCAGTGCAGTCACATCAGGCCTCTAAGAACAGGGTTCTTTCTGGATCAAACCTCAAAGATACAAGGCAGCAGTGGGTCTGCTTATTAGCTAACCCGATTGTTTTTATGGTCACTAGGTAGGCAGTGACCCAGTCACAAGCCAGCGCACAATATTCAGTCTGCAACACTCCCTGCTTGTCATTTTGCAGCCTTGTGGTGCTGAAGCCCTACCCAGATATACTCCTGAGGGCTGCAAAAAGGGGTAACCCCCAGGACTGAGTCTGCAGCCCTCCGCTCTAAGGCTAATTCTATACGTGACAAGATTATCAATTGACAGGCTGGTCCTCCAGCTTTTCTGACATTTCATTGCTCTTGAATGTCCCAAAGTCTAGGAACCACTAATCTAGTGCTACCTTCTACCCTATTGGTTTCCCCTAATGCCTGAAAGATGACTCCTGGTTTCTGGGTTTTCAGTCATCAGTGCTGAAGTTCAATGTCACCCAAGAGCCATCCCATCAAAGGTCACCTCTAGTCAAAAATTTTTGGTCACTCTGAATCAGGTCAACTTCCTGGTAATTTCCTCCCACTGGAGCTCACACAGCATATCTTAGCCTTTTCTTTTCTTTTCTTTTCTTTTCTTTTCTTTTCTTTTCTTTTCTTTTCTTTTCTTTTCTTTTCTTTTCTTTTCTTTTCTTTTAATGATTGCTTATTTATTTATTTATGCATACAAGAACTGGGCAGGTCAGCAGTGCAGGAGGTGAGAGGATTCGCCAGAGACAGAGTGGGGAGCAGAACAGGCAGATCTACTGAATACACTCTCCTGGGGGGCAGTGGGTGAGACAGGAGAGGTCAGCTCCCTAGCCGGGGGTCAAAATCATGCTGCAGTGGCTGCAGAGAGATTCATAGTGTTACGCTTTAACACCTTGTGCCATCAGGGAGGCCTTCTTAGCCTTTTCTACATGTCCGTACTTTCCTAAGTTTGTTTTTTTGCTTCTTGCCCTCTGGGTGCAACCTATTCAATTTTTTCACTCTTCAGCCTCCTCCGGAAATGCTCCAGTTTATTAATGTGCCTTTTAGAACAACATGCCCAGAACTAAACAAAACACGGCAAGCATTCCATCATAGCTGGCTGATCCAGGCACTCTTTTAATATAACTGAAAATAGGCATTTGTGTGTGGGGGGGCAGCTCCCTCATATGTCATGTCATACTCTCAGGCCACAATCTCAGACACTTGACCCAAGTGGAGAAATGGAGGATGGTGGGGGGAAGAGGGGTGGTGGGGGAAGTGAATGCACACCCAGTGCCAGGCATTGTCTATATACCTGGTACTTTATTTGTTCTTCCAACAAGCCTGCAAGGTAGATAATATCCCCATTTTGCAGATGAGGAAACTGAGGCTCAGAGAAGCTAAATAATTTGCCTAAGGTCACACAGCTGGTGAGTAACAATCTTGGGCCTGGAACTCTTGTTTCTTGGCTCTAAAGCCTGTGTTTCTTCTTTGCAGTACCGTTCCTTAACACCTTGGAGCTTGGGCCAGTCTAACCACAAGGTCATTTTCATATAAAGAGCTATCAGCCAGGTTTCCTCAATACTACGTTTATGCCTGTTTAATTTTTTTTGGTTAAATTTATATTTTTAAATTTCTTTTGGTTGTAAAATAATGTCCACTGAAGAAAAACGAGAAATATAGGGAAAAAAAATAGTAACTCGACCTATGAATTTATAATCCAGAGTTAACCTATATTAACACCTAATACATTTCCTTATGTTCTTGCTTATATGCATGTATGAGATTGAATCATCTGAAATGGCTGGTATTCAATCATTTTTACCTACAAAATGGGTAATTCCATATAATTCAACCTAACTTTTAATGTTACATTATCAGCATGTCCTGACTCATAACTCTTGTTTAGCAGCACTTAAATGATGTCATAACATAAAAATTATTTGGATTTAAAATAACTTAGTCAACTACTTTAATGTTGGACATTTGGTTGTTTTCCATCACAACTAGTTTGATGATAAACATCTTTATATAGAAGTATGCTTTTCTATTAATATTCCTTAGAATTAAATCTTAGAGATAAAAAGGAGCTCAAGAAGAATATATATTTCAAAGTTTCTTGCTACATACTACTTTACAAGAAGATCAGGCCAATTTGCACTTTCACTACATAGAATATTAAATATTTGTTAGCTTGTTCAGTCAAAAAATATGGTATGACATTATTGTTTTAATTTCCATTTACTTGATTCTTTTTAAGACTGTTGCATAATTTATTTTTTTAACCTAAAGTTACATTTATCTTTATATGTGATAATTTACCTTTTACCCAGTATTGCAGTCCATTAAAATGTCTTATGTAAAAAAGATAAGCCAACCATGAAGTGATGGCTGAACAAGCAAATGCCTGCATGGCCATATTAATAGAAATACAGTGTATAGATCAGAGGAGGTGATACTCCCACTCAACTTCTTTGGAGCTTTTCATTTATCTGTTTCTGGCTATCTTATTTAAGAAGGACATTGACAAACTGGATCATATTGATTGAGCAAAATGGTGAAGGATTGTGGAAAGAGATTAAAGACAGGTAGAGTATTTAATGTGAGCGATAGATGGACAGAAAAGCTGTTTTAAAGAATGACTGGCCCCTCTGTGCTACTTTTGTAACTTTTCTATAAGTCTAGAACTATTCTAAGATGAAAAAATTTATTTTTAAAATACTGACAGGCCTTAGGTACAACACAAATTCAGTTTAAGTGAATCCAGGAGCAGTCAAAGGACTGGTAGGTGGAATTTCATTGGTAATAAATTTTATCTTCACATTAGAAAAAATATCAGTATATTTTGTGCTGCTCTATACCAAATGACTTCCTTGAAAGGCAGTGAGTACCTTGGAGGTATTCAAGCAAAAGCTTGAATTTAGAATGTTGGTAAAGGGTCTTATACAGGGAATAGAAATCTGAATTGGCATCAGATGATATATGAGGTTCTTCCAAAGCCAAGATATTACAAGTCTGTGAACTGGTGTCCTGAGGGTATGAGCAGAATAGCGTCAAAGTTGAGATTTAAGCAGCCTAAAGCAGGTACACTGTGAGGCCAAAAAAAAAAAAAAAAGGGCAGAGCCAGTCAGGGGTGGGGCTGGAGCTGACACATCTTCTCTCTGCAGCATTCGTACCTGCTGAAGTTGAAGGTCATGTACACCGTGGGCTACAGCTCCTCCTTGGTGATGCTCCTGGTCGCCCTCAGCATCCTCTGCGCTTTCCGGTGAGAACACGCTGCTCCTCTTCCACTCCCCAGCCTTCCCCAGACACAGACTTTGATTCTCTTAATTATTCAGATCAGAGAAGGAAGGTCTGGGGAGACACCCTGTCCCCTCTTGAAGGAAAGCTTCATTGGAGCACAACACTTGAGTTACTGAGACTGCATCCATTTCTTTGTTCACTCAATATTTACAGAACATTACGAAGAACTTCCTGTACCACTTGCTTTTCACACAGTACTATGAGGTAGGGCTCATTATCCCCATTTCACAGGTAGATTACACAGACTCTTGCTTGCAAGGAACAGAAATCTAACTTAAAATGAATTAAGAAAAACAAAGGTGACCTGTCCCACATAGTTGATAAGTTTAGTGACTTCTGACTTGAGGAGTAGCTGAAGCTTGATGCTCAAAGAATGACATCAATCTCCTCTCTCCATTAGCCTGGTCCTCAGACAGTCTTTCTACAGGGTGGCAGAGAGAGCCAGCTGCAGCAACTGGGGTGCATTCTGCCAGTCAGCCAAACCAGGGTGAAGGGAACCTCCTCTCTTTTCCTTGCAGTGAAAGAGCTGCAGGCAGTTCTCATTGGCCCTGCTTGGGTCACGTGCCCAACTCTGAACCAGTCACTGCATCTAGAGATAGTAAGCCCTGACCAATCAGGTCTGGGAGGAGGGTGGTAGGGTGGAATATTCCTTCTCTAGATTGGAATCATTCCTCATAAGAGAGCGTAGTTCTGATACCAGAAGATGGGGAGCAAGTAACAAAGTTCTGTCCTTTAGAGCAGAAAAGGAAACAGGCTCTGGAAGGTGATCAGGTTTATTCAAGGTCATGTGGCTAGTAAATGGCAGGGTCGAATTTCCCCTCCAACCTGTGGTCTTCCAGTGCTGCTCACGGCCTTGCATTCTCATTACCTGCCCCAAGACCACTACCCTGTCACCCCCATTCTAAATACCCATGAAAGCTGGAGATGGTGATAGGTCAGGGGAGAATACATTGCCCCAACTTTATTATTGTCCTTTCAATTGCAACATGAGATAGTAGGCTGGGTTCTCACTAGCGCTTGCTAACAGAGATACAGTGTGGTGTGTAACCTGCAAAGAACCTATATCCAAGGCCGGGTGTTTCCCTGGGGCCCTCAGGAGGGGTGGGTCTGGCTGAGCCCCAGCCCCTCCTTGCTCTGACTCCTAAGGCCCTGCATTCTCCCCCTCTAGGAGGCTCCACTGTACCCGAAACTACATCCACATGCACCTGTTTGTGTCTTTCATCCTGCGTGCCCTGTCCAACTTCATCAAGGACGCCGTGCTTTTCTCCTCGGACGATCTCAGCCACTGCGGTGCTCACAGGGTAACATGTCTGCGTGCAGGGCGTGGCCAGAGCCTTCCCCAGCCCAACTTTGAATAGGGTGGTAGGCTGATTACCCCCCCCCCCCAGGGCAAGGGTAAAGGAACCAACTCTGGAACCAGGAATTTCTCACCTGCCCCCACCTGTGCTATCTGAGTCCTATACGAGAGCAATTTGTTGGGAAGGCGGTGCCATACAACTCCACACACAACAAGGCTCTTCTTTTCCTTCTTGCTGCCAAGTCCCAGCTGTAGACAGATGGTCAAGTTTAGAGTGGGTTGGAATTTGTTGTAGACAGAAAAGCGCAAGCATATGCCAGTATGCTTGCATTAAAAAATCATGTTTTGTTAAATGGAACCCACGTCTTCCTTCAGATACACAGATGAATCTTTAATTCAATGCAATATTGCTTTGTGTATCATTTTGGAATACCTTTTGCTACACATAGCAGTAAGGCGTATCGGTGGCTTAAACAGATAGGGCAGTTTCCTGCATAAGCTGTCAACAGATGGGCAATCCAGAGGTGGCTCTGTGATTCCATGATGCCATGAAGGACAGACATTTTTTCCTTTCTGTTCTGTTCACTCCTTATACCACATGTTTGCAATCCGGCTGCAATAATACAAGCCCTCACATCCTATTCAAGAGAAGGAGTAAAGGGAGCCTCCTTGAGAGGCTTTGCCTTTGTATCTGGGAAAGGAAGCTCTCCCCCAACCCCTACACCTCAGCCCCAGACTCCTGTTTATAGCTCATTGGGGAGAACTGTCATGTGGTCACATCTAGATGCAAAGGAAGTTGAGGGATTATTTTTTATTATCACTGTCTCCATAGCAGAAGGGGGAAAAGATTGGAAATTGGGATTGGTTCAGCGAACCTATAATTCTTTCTTTTTTTAAGATTTATGCATGCATGCAAGAGCTGGGTATAGGCCAGACGTGCCTGAGAGGATTCACCAGAGATAAAGTGGGGAGCAGAATGAGCAGATAGATTGAAGTACACTGCTGAGGGGAGCAACGGGGGTCAGGAGGGGTCTGCTGCACCACATGTGGGTGACCTCTCAGGTCAGAGATCTGGGGATTGAACTCATGCTGCAATGACTGGCAACAGCCTGATAGTACTGTCTTTAACCCTTGCGCCACCAGAATGGCCCTCCAACCTATAGTTCTTTACAGACCTGTTAAGTGTATATTATTTATATTGTGTTTGTGTGAGTGTGTATGTGTGTGTGTTCTGACTCAGACTCCATTAATTAGGGCCCATGTCTCCCAGGGAGATTTCCAGAATGAAGTAAGAGCGCAAAACTAAGAATTGGGAGCTTAAATCCAGAACCCATCCCATCAATGAACAGTGGTGAGAAGTCTAACACTGGCCAGCAGTAGATCTCGGATTCTCCTAAACATCTAACTTGCAAGCCATCTATGGGCCAAAGCTAGAATCAGAACCTCTGAGTGGGAATTCTGTTGGCCAGCAGGGTGACAGCACCCTCCTCCTCCATGGACAAGTTCCATGTGGCAGCCCTAGGAGCTGGCTGCCTGCCAGGAGCTCAGTGAGGGGAAAGGGGGCCCTTGTAAGGCCAGTGAGGAAGCCAGGCAGGTATAGGAACCTCATGCTCAAATGCCATGGGCATAACTTCCAGGGGTCCCTGTGAGTGACATGACAGTGAGAAGAGTCCCTGCATCAAGGGAAGCCACAGTCTGCTGTGTAGCAGCCTCCCCTCCAGAGACAGTGCACCACGTAGGGGCCATTTTTACCACAATCAGTGTTGCCTCCTATACTTGGCACATCCTTTCTTTATCTGCTTCCAGGGAAACTGAGCTTGGAAAGAACAACTGTCTAGCCTCAATTGCCTCATCTGAAAAATGAGGCAGTTGGGACATGGCATCATCTCACAACTGGCTGCCGGTTCCAGAATCTGAATGTAGTTCCTGCTTTCCCATTGACCCATTGCCATCTTGACCAACACTGTTGGCTTGTGAACTTCCACTCCTGAGAGAACTCTTAATGTGGAAGGCCACAGGGATGGGCAGGAGCCCAGAGGCTCACTCTGGCCTGGGCCCTGACTGTTATGTTACCATTACTTCCTTTGGGATTGTCACCAGAGGGAAGCCCAAGGTCACCCGGCCTGGGACTCACATTCCTCTCCCTGTCCAGGTGGGTTGCAAGCTGGTAATGGTCTTCTTCCAGTACTGCATCATGGCCAACTACGCCTGGCTGCTGGTGGAAGGCCTGTACCTCCACACACTCCTCGTCATCTCCTTCTTCTCAGAAAGGAAGTGCCTGCACGGATTTGTTGTCCTTGGATGGGGTATGTTTCTCCATGAGTAACAGTAGCTGTGTGGTTTAGGAGAAGAACAATTATTCCAGAATCAGAAGGATTTGGTTTCTGATTCCAGCTCTACCCTCAGATAAGAAAATTAATTTGTGTGACCTTGGGCAAGTTCCTTGATGTTTTAACCCCCTTACCTCAATTTTTGTAACTGTCAAAAGGAAATAACAATTAAATTTACACATAGTTTCTGGCATCCAGATCCTTTTACAGTTTCATATCATGCAACACCAGTTGCCTTATCTTCCTTAAACATTCCATTCATGTGTCCTCATTTCTGCTTGCTTTCTGTATGAAAGGTATCAGACTATAGATATCAGAAAATATGACATAAAAGAAGTTAATTGGCTCATGGAGCTGCAAAGTCCAGGGATTCCAGGGCTTCAGGTCAGGCTGAATTATGAAGGACAATATTTTTGTCTGTTGACTGACTTTTTTTTTTAATATTTATTTATTTATGCACACAAGAACCGGGGTACAGGCTAGAGGTGCAGGGGCTGAGAGGATTCACCAGAGACAGAACAGGGGAGCAGAACAGGCAGATTAATTGAAACACACTGCTGATGGGGGCAGCGGATGGGTCAGGAGAGATCTGTCATGCCATGTAGGTAATCTCCTTGGCTGGAGATTGAACTTTTGCTGCAGTAACTGTGGATAGCTTCATAATGCTGCACTTTAACCCATTGTGCTACCAGGCAGGGCCCTGACTACCTTCTGTAACATCAGTTTTATCCTTAGGCTGAAGATCCCAGTGTAGCTGTAGGAGCTTCTAGGCTATTGATTTCCTTATTATATCTGAGGAAAGATAGAAAAGTAAATCAGAACCTCTGAGTGAGAATTCCGTTGGCCAGCAGGGTGGCAGCACCCGCCTCCTCCCTGGACAAGTTCCATGTGGCAGCCCTAGAAACTGGCTTCCGGCCAGAAGCTCAGTGAGAGAAAAGAGGGACCTTGTAAGGCCAGTGAGGAAGAATCAGAACTTCTAAGTAAATACCCTGAAGTTCACTCTGATTGGACTAGCTTAAGTCTCATACACATCCTTGTACGTCACAGAGCCTGAAGGAATGGGATATATTTAACTGGTTGAAGCTACTCAAGCCACGTAACTTCCCAATGAAAATTTTGGATTTGGTTTCTAGGAAGGAGGGAAAATGGTAGCAAGACAGCCAACTCTAGGCCCTGCTGCATCTCTTCCCTTTTTTTTTCTAGTCACTGAAGGTGATACCAACTCCCATTTCTTGAGCACTTGCTGCATGCCAGGCATTTGGCTCAGCACTCTGACTGCATTATCTAGTCATTATAACAATCCCCAGAGGCCACTCAGAGAAACTTTGGCTTAGACACATGACATAACTTGCTTGACTCCCACTGCAGATGAGGAGAGACGTGGAATTCAAATCAAGGCTTGAATTAACTTTGATTCTGCCATTAACAAACACCCATCCAACCATCTATCTGTCCATCTGTCCATTCATCTGTCCATCCATCCGCTCACCAGTTATTTATGTGATAAACACATGAATGTTAGCACTGGGTTCTAGACAGAGAACTAGTTTCCTCTGGCTGAATCACAGGCTTACAAGGAAAGTCATGTGCAGCCACCATCAGCTCTTGGTTCCTTTCACTAAGAAATGCCCTTTGCCAGGAAAGGCCTCCCCTGTCTTTTCTGTTGGTCTGCACCCCTAACTGTGAGGCCCTATCTTCTCATCAGACCATCTGGAAGTCACCTGCACTGCCAGAGACTGCTGTGCCCTCCTGCTGAACCTTGGCAGCACCATTAGTACGTCACCTTTGGCCAGCAGGAGCTGCGGTCTCTGCGCATCTCTGGATTTCCGCCTACACCGATAGCCGCAGAGTTCTAGGGACTTGCCTGATGCAGCAGAATGCTAAAAGAGCAGCTAGTGTAAAGTTCAATCCACCGGGTTCTGAATGCCAGATTTGCCAGGATTTTATTGCGTGAACATGGACAGCTTCATCATCTGTAATATCAGGACTAGAATTTCTTCAACGCTTTGAGCACTAGATGCTCAGAAGGACTTGGAGAGATTGCAACCAAAACCAAAACAAAACACTCCCATCATTCCAAGACTTTGTAGTCCAGCTGGGAAATAATATTAATTTGTGATAATATCTCGGTCTTGGGTTTATGGGAGGCTTAATGAGATAATAAAAAATATTTATTGGGCATTGACTATATGCCAGGTTCCAAAGATGGAACAGCACATAAAATCACGGCGGCTCCCTCCCTCGTGGCCTCTCTGCCTGTACAGCCTTAGGAGATCAGGATTGGTGCTGGAACCTACAGCGCTCCACCTGTAAGCACACTTTCTCTTTCAAGGGCAGTGCCCCCTCCCTCAATTTGTACTGGTTTCCCCAGGGAGAGGTTGCTTAGTGAGTATACACCCTGCAAAAAGTCAATTTTTTAAAAGATTTATTTATTTATACATACAGAACTGGGATACAAGCCAGAGGTGCAGGGGCAGTGGGAGGATTCACCAGAGACAGAGCAGGGAGCAGAACAGGCTGACTGACGAAGTACACTGCTGAGGGGAACAGTGGGTGGGTCAGAGAGGTCTGCCTGGATCCAGTGCCTTGTGGATCACCTTAGGGCCCCAGGGATGGAGTCCCATGAAGCAGCTGCGGCTTGCTTGCAGTGCTGCGTCCTAACCTGTTGTGCCACCAGGGAGGACCCAAAGTAATTATTTTTAAGTAGAAAAAAAAAAATGTAACCTAGACCCACCCCCTTGAACATTGTCTGGGGTTTCCTTCCAGCCTTTTTTCCCCTACTAACAGATTTTTTTCTCACATAGTTGTAGTTTTTTTATATGTAGAATTTTGAACTTTGCTTCTTTTATTAATACATAAGTGTACTTTGTACTCCCCATCAAACCAACTCTTCCTTAAATATTTTTTTAAAGATTTATTTATTTATGCATACAAGAACTGGGGTAACAGACAGAGGTATAGGGGTGAGAGGATTCACCAGAGACAGAATGGGGAACAGGATAGGCAGATTGACTGAAATGCACTGCTGAGGGGAGCAGTAGGCGAGACACGGGAGGTCTGCTATATCATATGGATAGCCTCCCTGACTGGCTGGGATTGAATTTGTGCTACAATGGCTGTGGATAGTTTCATAATGCTGCCCTTTAACCCATTGTGCCACTAGGGAGGGCCCGTTAATTTTTAATTTGTTTTTGTGTAGAAGACCTAGGTGTAGGCCAGAGATACCTGGTGAGAGAATTCACCAGAGATACAGTGGGGAGCAAAACAGGCAGATTTGGTGAGTTACACTGCCTAGGGAAATAGTGGGTGAGACAGGAGAGGTCTGCTGTGTCATATATTGGTCAGCTTTTGGGCTGGGGATTGAACTCAGGACGTCGTACTGATAGTACTGATATTTAACCTCTAGGACACCAGGGAAGCCCTCTTCCTTCAACGTGTTTAATTATTCTTGGACATATTTAACAAAATGCCTATTTTTTGACATTCAAATTATTTCTAACTGTGATATAGAACACAGTGAGGAATACTTACATGGACAAAGGTTATTCCATGTATAATATGGAAACCAAGAATTGGATTACTGAGTCAGGAGTGAATGCTCTAGAGGTTTTTAATACTTAATGAAAGCTCTTACTTTTCAGGGTGGCTAAGGTATAAATCTGGACCCAGGAAAGGATGATACCTTTGGTTTTTAGGGGAGATGAACCATTCTTCATGCACTGAGTGAATTTTAACTGGTGGTTCTCAAAGGTAGGCCAGCTCCAGGATCAACCAGAGAAGCAGTGGGTGTCAAATCCAGTGGGTAGGACTCCAGGTTCAGAGTCCTAAGTGGGAAGGGGCCCAAGACAGTATATCTCCCAAGATCCCAAGTGATCTGATAATACTGGTCTGGGATACATGCTAAGAAACAGAGTCAAGCCATTAGCTTTCCAGACTTTCCCACCAACTCATTCTTTTTTGTCTTTTTTTTCCACCTAAGATTTAATTATTTATGTATACAAGAGCTGGAGTATAGTCAAGAGGTGAGGGGTGAAAAAATTCACCAGTGACAGTGGAGAGCAGAACGGCAGATTGGCTGAAATACACTGCAGAGGGGAGCAGCCAGCAAGACGGGAGAGGTCTGCTGCACCATGTGGGTCAGCTCCTGGCCAGGGACGGAGCTCATGCCGCAGTGGCTGGTGATAGCTTGATAGTGCTGAGACTTAACCCCTTGCACCACGAGGGAGGCCTCCACCAACTCTTAGAGATGTAAGACAGTGACCTGCAGCTCATGTTTTCTGTCCAAAGCACCCAGAATTGAGGCAGGGATATTTTTAAGTTTGTTATTGCTATCAAAGTCATCTTAGTACTTGATTTAAAAGGTTAACTAGGGCTACAGCTGACTGGAACTTCCTTTTCCTGAGTTTTGCTCTCCAGATATAATGCCCTTTACTCATAAGCTGTTCTTCCTAATATTTTCTCTCTTGTTTTAAAACAATAATTCATTATTCTTTGATTCCTCTCTGAAGAATTATTTGTTTATTCCTTATAATAGAAGGATAAACATAAATTTCTCCATCCACCAAATCCATCCTTCTGTTAAGTTTTCCACAATGTTTGGTTAAATAATCTTTAGTGTATATTTCATTTTTCTAATCAACTGTTGTTTATGGTGTTGATGATTTTACTCCCATTCTTATTTAACATTTTCTTTTTCATAGAAAAACTTTTAATTTGCTTATTTGTTTTATGTTGTTGCCATTAATGCTCCCACAGAACTCGAAAATCCTCCACTGCTTAACCCTCCAACTCATCAAATGCAACAGGCCCTCCCTTAGTTCCTGGGGCTGTCATAAAAATTGCTGCAAATTTGGTGGCTTAGGACAACAGATATTTTAATGTCTTGAAGTTCTGGAGGTCAGAAGTTCAAAATCAAGGTTTCCATACGGTGATTCATTCTGAGGGCTTTGAGGGACATTATGATCCCAGCCACTCTCTTGGCTTCTGATGGTGTCTGGCCACCTTTAGCTTAGAGACCTGAGTCTCCTCTCTCTTGGTGTCTGTCATGGTTTCTTATAAGAATACAGTCATATTAGACTGGCATCTCTCTGTGAATATCACCCTTATACACATGAACTCAACTTATGACACCTATGAAGACTATTTCCAAACAAGGTCATAATCGAAGATCCTGGATGCATATGAATTAGATGGGTGTACTACTCAACCTATACTACTAATAAACCCACCAGTGTTCTTTCTAGAGCCTTCTACCCTCCTGCTCTATTTGAGCTGCCTCTTCTCTAGACATGTTCAAGGCCCTTAATGTTCATGCTAAGAATTTCCTTTTTCCTGCACAAATTCTGTTCCTTGTTTCGTGTCTCCCTTGGTTTGGTTTACTCTTTAGTCATGTTGGGGCACATCCTGCAGTATCTAACAGTGAGTGCATGAAAGTTTCTTTTTTATTTTTGCATTAACTATCTAAGAATACTTTTTCAATGTTCACACCTTATTCATAGTTTTGGTGGACATAGATCTTAGGTGGAAAAGTCCTCCCCACCCTCAGAATTTTGAAGGCCTTCTGTTTTAGCATCCTGTGCCATCTCATCTATTCCCTGGTCATTGCTCTCTGGATAAGCTGCAAGATCTGTTCTGTGTTCCTGTGTTTTGAAATGTCACTGGATATGTCCTGATGCAGATCTGTCCCCATCCTTTCTACTGGCACCCTGTGACTCTTTCATCTGGAAACTCACAGTCTTCATTTCTTGAAAATGTTCTTACTTTATCTCTTTGAACATTTCTTTCCTTCTGGTTTATATCCTTTTTTCTGAAACTATTAATCAGATAGCACATGTCCTAGAGTCAACCTCTAATGTTCTTATTTCTTTTCTATTTTTCGTTCCATTTTTTGTTCTGCTTTTTAGATTCCTAGTCATTATCTTCCAAGCCATCTATGGAATTTTTTTAATCTTGGTTATTATATATTTAAGCCCTCTTCCTTGTTCTCTGAGTGCTTCCGGTTTTGGATATCCTGTTTGTGTCTTGAAGAGGTAATCTTTTCTCTCATCTCTCTGATGATATTCCTCAGCCTTGTTTTTTTCAAGTTCCTCCTGCAGCCTGTATGGTTTGTTTCCTCTGAGTTCCTTTGTCCTTTACATAATCAGCTTTCTTCAGAAGTCAGTGGCCTTGACTGTTCTAATTAAGAATGAGTCACTTCAGAGCTGAGTGAGGCAGTGGTGTATTTTGGGGATGGGTGTGGGGGGCTTACATGTTTCTCTAGGGAGACTGGTCTGGAAATAGCAGTGGTGTGTGTGTATATAAGGGTTGGTTATTCCCAAAGATCCCCCTATAAACCCTTGTCTGGAGTGATACAACTGCAGAGAAGAATTTTTTAATTTCCTGCTTCATGTGGGAGGTGGGTGACTGGGAGCCACCTCAGTGCACAGGTGTGAAAACTAAGCAACAGGAGGTTGGGGGGAGATAAGGACACAGCACAGAGCGTGAGTTTAGAAAGCCGATTAAAGCAATCAGAGCTCCCTGCAACAGGAAAAGGCCCAGAAAGGGGTTGACTGCGTGCAAGTCTAAATGCAGGGATACTTACACTGTCAGCTAGGGAAGCTGGTTCTCTCCAGCTGCTACCTCATGTGGTTGCCCTTCTACCCACACCCTGTATCTCCCTTTCTCTCTCAGGAAGGGCTGCAGACTGCCACAGACAGGTGGTCTTTGCTGAGCTGTGGCCACCCTCATTTTGTTGAGCTATTTTACCACTTTTTTTGCCTTCTTCTTGTTGATTTTCTGCTTACCTATGCCTGGAGTTCCTTCATCCTCAGCCTTCTCTCAACTTGGAACCAGCCCCATATCCAGTGCTCATTATGTACATGTGGCGAGAGGCAGCACAGTGGAGACTCTTACTTCATCCGTGTGGTCAGCTAAGAATCCCCTGCCACCCTTTCTGTGACTCAGTTTCCCCAGACAATAAACTTTGGTCAGAATCGAACAGTTATCAGTACTTAGCCATGGGGAGAACTTCTGCCTGCTAACTCCTTCCGAACCATCCTGCTGTTCCAACTCCACCCTGTCTCCTCCCTCCTGGGGTCCCTGGTGCTCCCAGCTCCTGAGCCCCTCAGCCACTGTCCCAGCAGCCTCCCCGCTGGTGCTGTGTTCCTGCTGTCTCTATTCTATTCTCTGCCAGCTCTCCAGCTCCCAAGCATGCTGGCATCTTCCGTTCTTTGTGCTGATGGGCTTGCGTCAATTTTATATCTTTACTGTCATATGGTAGGAGTGTCTGGAGAATAGAAAGATAAACATTTAAGCTCAATTTGACATATTTAACATATTTATATTTTCTCTTCAATTCCTCTGTGCTTTTTACTTGCTAGTCCAAACAATCTTTTGTTTAAACGTGACATTGATTGTTTTCATTGCCTGTTGAATGGACAAGCTCCTTACACATAAAATCGAGGTGTCCCTCATGGCCACATCCCCCACTGTCCAGCATGCCCCAGTTTGGGAAAGGAGCCTCCCAATTGCACCATAGGCCCCAAGGTCCCGCCTAGGTGTCCTGGTCCCTGTCTTCCCCTGCAGAGGTCATCTGGAGTCTGGGCTTAGCTCCCAGGAGATTCCAGCCCCAGGTGGCCTTTTGGATCCAACTTCCCTTCCTCTGTTCCCAGGGCATCCCTGGCTCCCTAGACACACATGGCTTTTCATTTATACAGGATGACTATGGTGTTTCCATAGAAAATGTTTTGTCCCAACTTCTGTGACTGGCTGCAAGAAAGGAAGGCGGAGACAGAAAGGCTGAGCAAGCAGAGTTTATTGCTCCCGGACAGCAGCTGAGACGGAGCCCCCAGAGTGGGGTCCACAGCTACTGCCAGCCCTATAGGGGGGAAGGGTCTCTTATGTGGATTCTGAACTCAGATTCCAAAAGGGTGACTATCGCTATGTCCCTTGATGTAAGGCCCAGTTCATTATCAGCTTTATCTAGTCCCATCCCGGACTCAAGGCAAAGCCCAATTTATTACCACCTTATCACCTTTGGATGCAAGGCCTGATTTATTACTGCCCTTATCCAGTCCCTCAGTAAATCTCCGCATTTGGTCACTCCCAACAGAAACCAGAACTTGGCACCTGGTTAGGATCACTACTCACCCATTTCTCATATGTGTACTGAAAAGTGAGAGTTCTTTCTTCTACCTCTCTCTTTATCTTTATCCTCAGGTTCCCCAGCCATTTTTGTTGCTTCATGGGCCATCACCAGGTACTTTCTGGAAGATGTTGGGTGAGTTGTTGGAAAGAGAGGTAACAAGAGTGCACTTTATATTGTCTGCTTCTTCAGATGGGATGGACACTTCTTTGGGGCTCTCTAGAAGAGGATTGTTTCCCAGACACGGGACAACAGCCAAGTTCTCTGGAGCACCAGGCTGCTGAGTACCCCCTCTTTTGATAGGTGTGAGTCTGCTGCTGGTTGAGCGGCCTCTGCAGCCTGCACCCTCCTGGGCCTCCTCAGCAGTCTGCCTGCCCAACAGCCATGCTGAGGTCAGGTGCCAGTCAGGTGCTGCTCCGTGAGAAACTCACAGGACCTGCTGCCCTACCCCATGGCCACTCTCCTCCAAGTCCTAGTGTCTGAAAGCCCTGCAGAGTCAGAAGCAGGAGAGCGGCTAATGATGGGGACACCTCAGAGGTCTAGTCTTGTGTCAAAGGTGTGAAGTGCTGAGGTGGCCGGTGAGCCCAGGGAGGCCCCTGGGAGAAGGCCCTTGAAAGAAGTCAGGCAAGGAGGGAGGCAGTATGATAAAGTGGGAGACCATTTCTTAAAGAGCCTCTTGATCCAACCAGGCAAGTAAGTGGATGAGAGCAGATCAGGCTTGCAAGTGTCTGAAGTCCAAAGTCAGCTTGAATGACTGTTTCAAAATAATGCTTTAAGTTGGATGAATTCAATTTTTTTTAAATAAAAAGGTGTATTTATGCTACAGAACTGGGGTGCAGGCCGGAGGTGCAGGGGTGGTGAGAGGATGCACCAGAAACAGGGTAGGAGCAGAACAGGCTGACTGACAAAGTACACTGATGAGGGGAACAGCGGGCGGGTCAGGAAAGGTCTGCCACGATCAAACTCATGGAGCAGTGGCTTCGTAGAGTTTCATAATGCAGTGTTTTAACCCATTGTGCCACCAGGGAGAGCACCCAATTTTTTTTTTTTATTCAAGTTTTTAGCTTCTCTTAAAAAAATTGTGAAGTTCTAGAACATTTCACATTTTCCCTTGTGGCAAAAAATCAGCTGGCACAGAATTACAGCTGCCTTAGACCAGGCACGTGCTGTCCAGTTTGCCAAGTACCCCCTTACCCCACAGCCTGCTGCTATGGACAGTTTACTTCCATGCTCCCCGGTGAATTCTGACAAGGCCCAGCTTGGGGATCCAGAGTCGGCCACTGCTCGCTTCCCACACAGGTGCCCCTCAAAGGCTGACTGGGCATTCTCGGAAACAACAGGGCTCTTAGACAGCGGGGGGGGGAGGGGGGGGTTGGGTGGGGGGAGATCGTGGTTACTGAGCACCACAGAGGGTCAGTGCCATAGTGGGGGGGGCAAGTCTTTCCTGGCCAGCCCAGCCTCTCTCCTCACCATGCCTGGATGTCCCTCCACAGGTGCTGGGATATCAACACCAACGCGTCCATCTGGTGGGTCATTCGAGGGCCTGTGATCCTCTCTATCCTGGTGAGTGGCCACTCTCCCCTGAGCTGGGCTCCAGTGGGTACCTGGCCTGCAGGGACAGAGGGCTAGGAGACAGGAACAAATGACAAAGTTGCTAAAGCTTGGTCTGCGGCACAAGGGGCTGGAAATTCCACCTCAAAGTATGTTAGCTGGGAAGGGGGTGGGGGCCACGCAGGAGGCAAGAGCTCACAGAATCGGCTCTTATCTGTGCTGAGGCATGAACTAAGTCACACCATAACCCTCTGGGTTCTTCTCAGGCTAGACAAGTAAACCAGACAGCATCAGATGGAGTAGGAGTAGTCAAGGAAACACAATGAATATGTAGGTAGAATTCACATGGTTGTCATTTCTAAAGTGTGTTGGAACAGAGCGAGAATACTTATCCTATTTTAGGACCTAGGTAATCAAGGACAGAGATGGGGAATCATCACACACCAGGCAAGAAGGGGGTGACCTAATCCTTACTCTGAGAGTAAAGATGAGATTTTGAGACAGAGAGAACATGCCTACTGATAAAAGTAAAAACACAAACAGGTGAAACCCCCAAACTACATTATTCTAGCTCATAAAAGGGACAGCAGTGAATGGTTCATCACTTAGGAAAAAGGCAGACACGTAGACCATGTTGACCTCTTTTTCCAGGATGAAGGATATGGACTAGAACAGAAGCTTCTAGCCTTCAGAGCCCTCCCTGTTCTCAAATCAAACAATCTTCATTCTTTAAATACTGTTGTTTAACCTCCTGAGGTTCACAGAGCTTTGAGGGGCCACTATGTAGTTTTCATACTTTGGTGACAAAAGACCTACTCTGGGCCTACTGAAAAAAGTCCATCTGACCCTTCTGGGGGGACTGACACCACATCTGTGTGTCACAGTGGAATAAGGGGAGCAGAGTTCCTAGCTCTAAACAAGTGGCCTGGAGTTCCACCTCCATGTTTTCAGACCTTTGGTCTCGATCATTTTTCTAGGCATCCTTGTGTTAAACGGGGAAGAACACTAAGCTGAGATCACAGGAGGTGGGTGGGGACCCTAGGAGAGATGGAGGGGGACTTGTGGTGTTGTGAGGCCAGAAAAGGAGGACTGCCCCAGGGAAGGGAAAAGGGAACATTCCAAAAAGACAGGTGGCCCTTGAACAAGACAGTTTGAACTGCTTGTGTCCACTTCCATGAAGCTGTTTCTCAATAAATGCAACATGAACTAAAAAAAAAAAAAAAAAAAAAATAGTATAGTGCTGTAAATGTTCTTCTTCCTTATGGTTTTCTTAATAATGTTTTACTCGAGCTTACTCTGTTGTAAGACCATAGTTTATAATACATATGACATACAAAATAGGGGTTAGTCAGCTGTTTATGTTGTTGGTAAGGTTCCCGGTCCCGCAGGCTATCAGCCGTTATGTTTTGGGGGAGTCAAAAGTTATATGAAGATTTTTTTTAAGATTTATTTATTTATGCATACAAAACTGGGGTACAGGCCAGAGGTTCAGGGGTGGTGAGAGGACTCATCAGAGACAGAGTGGGGAGCAGAACAGGCCGACTGATGAAGTACACTACTGAGGGGAGCAACGGGCGGGTCAGGAGAAGTCTGCCTGCCGTGCCATGTGGGTCACTTCCAGGACGGGGATTGAACTCATGCAGAAGTGGCTTTAGCTTCTTAGTGTTATGCTTCAACCTGCTGTGCCACCAGGGAGGGCCCCTATATGAAGATTTTTAACTGTGAGGGGGAGGGGAGGGATGGTGCCCTTAACCCCTCAAGTCATTCAACATCAGGCTCTACTGATAGCTAAAGGTTTGGGCTTCTGTTGTGCTGGGGAAGGGCTTGAACACTCGTCTTAGGTTGACATTCCCAAGTGATTCCGCTCTGCATTCAGGTGTCCGGGAGCCTCATGGCTGAGCCTGTGGCTTGGATAAGAACAAGGGGGCAGAGGAAGAAAGACATATGGTGGGGACACACTGGGGTCATTTCATGCTTGGGATCAGACCCCATTTCCTCTGCCGCTGCTGACTACATGACCTTCTGGGACCAGTTGGGGGAAGGGAACCATCCTATCCCCAGCTTCATCCCACCTTCCCCTCTCCTCCTGCCCCTCCTCCCCCCTCTTCCTGCTCCTCCTCCATCCCTTCCTTCTCTTTCTTTTCCTCTGCCTCGTCTAGCTTCTTCTTCTTTCCCCCCAAAATAACAGAATTCATGTAAAAATTGGGAAATACAGAATGTATGTTTAAAGAGAGAATGAAATCACCCATAGTCATATAGTCATCCACTCAGCAGTGGCAGAGAAAAGGGGGTCTGATCCCATCTATGAGATGACTCCAGCGTCCCCCCCCCCATATGGCTTTCCTCCTGTGTCCCCTTGTTCTTAGCCCCACACACATTTACATATTGTAAATGTGTGTTTTCCTTCTTGTCCTTTTCCTTGACACACATGCTTTTTGTCTTCCAAATGTTTATTATAGCTTGATAATGGCCTTTGCTCAGCAATAGATGGGAGCATTCCCATGTTATTTGAAATAATTTGAAAAACCCATGTGCTGTGATTGCCTAAACAGCCCAAAGGAAGATGCTGCTTCTTTAGGCTAATGGGACTTCCTTGCTGTGATTCTGGGACTTGACAGTGCAGCCTGGAGACCCTGAGGGCCCCCCAACCCTGGGCTCCAGGGTGTTACCACACTATGGCCTATTGAGTGGGTTATTTTGACGCAAGTGATTGTTGTGTCACAGGGCCTCGATTTCCACTAAGAAGTTGTGTTGGAGACCAGCTATTGAGGTGTCCGGAGGCAAGACAGGCAGGACCCTAAGGTGGGAAGGCGTCTGTGAAAGGAGATTCCAAAAAAAAGGGAAGAAGGAGAAAAAGGGGAAAGGGGAGCGAGGAAGACATGGGAGTCGGAGTTGGGTGCAAGTCTTCCTGCCCATCTTTTTGAAGGCCTTTATTTATACTGTTTAGCAAGATTTAGTTACAATAATGCATCAGGTAAGTTAATAAGAAATTGGCATAAAAGTTTTAAAGGAAGAGGGGAACAAAGCATCCTCTTCCTGCTACTTTATGGCACACTATACTATACATCTTTGTGATAACTTTCATGTATATGGATGCTTAACCATGACTTTAAAGGATCAGGGTCTGGGAAAGGATGAGCTGTTAGCAAAGGATTTAGGAGTTCTAGGGAAGGAATAAATTGTGTTAGCAGAGTCCTCAGTGATAGTCTGAAGAGAAGCTAATGGCTAACTTAAGGTTAGCAGAGAGTAGCTAGTGTTTGTTTTAGGAAATGAGTAAATTAAGAAGAAGTCACATAGTTATGCATTAAACAAAACCTGTGTTGATAATGTTAGGAAATTGTCCACGGGTCCTTATGCTCTGAGAGTTATCTAAGAATGGCTTTTTGTCAAAAGACCAAGGAAGCTTTCCAGGAGTCTTGGGGATCTTATCTCTCCAAGAGCTTGCCTTTTGTCTTCAGTCATAGGAATCTCCTGCCCAGGAGCAGCTCAGCTTGTACTTTGCCCAGGCCAGGTAGCCAATTTAGAGCTAAGGCAATCCAGTTACAAATTGATGTTGCTACAGTATTTTTTGATATTATGATTATACAAAAAAGGGAGGTCATAACATAAGTTAGCAGTGGAAATTCTGGTTTTTCAGAGCTTTTCCTGAGCTACCCAGAATCTGTCAGACGATAGCCGTTGCATAGCTTGTGTCAAAGTTGTTTGGGGGATCTTGAGGATTTTTTCCTCTTGTCTCAAAGTGCTCCCTTTTAAATTAAATAATAATATAAGACAAAAAATAAAATAAAGGAACCTTTATTGTTTACACCATACACAGTCAGCTTAAAATGAAATTCATAAACAAACTAATGTTAATGAAATCGTGTTCCTCAAAAAGCAGCATTGGCCTAAGTCCCAGACAAGTCAGTAATCTTGTGTCATTTGACAAGTGTCCTCAGACCCCAAACTATGAGTGTGAACAACGAGGGTGCCCAGCCCTGCAGTCCCACGGAGCCTGGCTTGTGTATGATGAGAAGGCAGGGAAGACCTGTCATGCGGGTGACTGCACTGGGTGTGGTGGTGGGGATATGTAAAAAAATAAAGAGGCTCCATTCCTATCCTTAGGAAGTTATAATTGACTGGCAGATAAGTGAATACACGCACATACACATTTGACACAAGCCAGCATTTGGTCTCTTACAAATATTTCAAGTGTTCTTACATAAGCACATCACCCCTTTGGGCCACAATGAATCGGGCAAGGGAGGTAATCAAGGATGGCTACCTGGAGCTGGTGACTGAATTGCAAAGTGACTCTATAAAGCTGTCAAGTGGTGGTTCTCAAAATGCGATTCCTATACCATCAGCTTTAGCATCACCTAGAAGTTTGTTAAAATTTCCACCCCAGATTTACTAAACTAAAATCTCTGAGAGATTTTAGGCTGGAGTCTGTACCCAAACTTTGAGAACGCCTGCTGTAAAACATTGTGACTCAAAGTGTAGTCCAAGCGCCACTTTGGCATTCCCCTGGAAACTCATAAGAAATGCAGGCTCTCAGGCCCATACCAGGCCTGCATTTTAACATGATCTCCAGGGGATTCCAGTGCATTCTGACTGTGAGAAACCATGCCACCACCAAGCAGACCTCCGTGTTCCCACAGCCCAGGAGTAGGAGGGGCTGAACCATTGCTTCCAGACAGTTTTTTTCATCAGGTCGGGGGGGATTGACGTTCCCTTCTGGGAGAGGGTCTGCATTGCCTCTCCAACCTCAGGTCTAGGGGACAGGACAAAAGAAGTGGCTGGGACAGCAAATAATCTCTAGTCCTACCTCGGTCTTGTGTCTTGCAGATTAATTTCATCCTTTTTATAAACATTCTAAGGATCCTGATGAGGAAACTTAGAACCCAAGAATCAAGAGGAAATGAAATGAACCATTATAAGTAAGTAGGATGTAAAGAGCTGGGCATGTTCAGTGAGTCAGCCAGCAAAAATGTTCTAAGCATCTACTTTTACCCAAATGGTGCCAGGCACCACTGGCAATGAAAAAAAGAGTAAAATCCATGATCTGGTCCCAGGGGTTTTGCAGTATTTACAAGAGGAGGAGGGATGGGTTCATTAGACACTGCCCTGGGAGTGAAGAGGTAAGAACGGTCAGCTGGATCCCAGTCAGCAGAGGTCTTAACCTTGGAGTAAGGCCATGGAGTCCAGGGACCCATATCCAGAGGCTTGTGTGATCTAGACATCTTTAAGATGTTAAAGAGAGATGCTGTATTCGTTTGCTAGGGCCGCCATAACAAAATAGCACAGCTGGATTGCTTAAACAAAAGAATTCATTTCTCACTGTTCTGGAGACTGGAAATCCAAGATCAAGGTGACAGGTTTGGTGGCTCGTTGGCTTGTAGACGGTTGCCTCTCCCCGTGTCCTGACGAGGGTTTTGCTTGGTGTGCCTGTGTCCCTCGCGTCTCCCCTCTTCTTACAAACACTAGTTGACTGGTCTAAGAGGCTACCCTTATAGTCTCGTTCTAACTTAGTCATCTCTGCAGTTCTAGTCCATTCTGAGGTGCTGGACCGAGTACTTCAACTTTTTTTTAAAAGATTTATTTATTTGTGCATACAGAACTGGGGTACAGACAAGAGGTGCAGAGGTGGTGAGAGGATTCACCAGAGAGAGAGTGGAGAGCAGAACGGGCAGATCAACAAGTACACTGCTGAGGGGAGCAGCGGGTGGGCCAGGAGAGATCTGCCGCACCATGTGGATCATCTCTGAGGCAGGGATCAAACCCATGCTAAAGTGACTTTAGCTTCTTAGTGCTGTGCTTTAATCTGTTGCACCACCAGGGAGGGCTGCACTTCAATTTTTAATTTGGGGTGATGAGGAGGGGGACAATTCCGTCCATAAGAGGGTAAGAGCAAGTCAAAGCAGTTAGAGCAAGTCTCCCAGCAGAAGCTCTCTCTGTGATGTTGAAATTTGGGGGTTCTGGCAGTGGTCTGGATTACTTGCTGACAGATTCTCCAGAACATCACTAGAGCAGAAGACTCCAAAGGAGGGTGGTGTTGGGGAGCAGTGTGAAGCTGCCAGATAAAATGCAGGATGCCCAGTTCAATTTGCGCTTTGAATAAATAGTGAATTGTTTTTAGTATTCATACCAAAAAACTTAACCCACTGTTTATCTGAAATCCAAATTGAACTGGGCAGCCCACATTTTTATTTGCCAAATTTGGTAACCCCGATTTAGGAAAATAAAAACTTCTTCTTACAGATATTTATTATCAAACAGTTAAGAATACTGGCTTTGCTCATAATATGCTAGACAGAATGGCAGTTATAGTTGCACATAATTTATAAATAAAGTTAACTAATCAGGCAGGTCCATATTCATATTTTATTTTTCCTATAGATGTGTGTGATTAGAAAGTTTGAGGACTGATCAAAGGGGTATTTGGTGATAGATATGTAGGAATTGTAAATTTATGTGCCAAAAAAAACCAAAATCTGGGGCTGGGGTTGCAAGTCCCCTGCCCTGGGGTTCAAGTGGGGTGCACCAGATTGTGTGCCAGAGGGGAGGGGAGGGAAGGGGGCAGGAGACTGCAGCATGTGTCTGTGTCCCCAGGCGCCTGGCCAAGTCCACCCTTCTGCTGATCCCCCTCTTTGGAGTCCACTACATCATCTTTGCCTTTTCCCCAGAGGATGCCATAGAGGTCCAGCTGTTTTTTGAACTGGCTCTTGGTTCATTCCAGGTAAGCATGAGCACTGAGACCTTCACAGAAAAAGAGGAGTAAAATGGAGACTGTAGGAAAAAAAAAAGGAGACTGTAGAGACGTAAAGACAGATCTTAGGGAGAGTCCTGCAGTGGCTTGGGAAGGAGGATAGTGCATTTGGCAAATACTCAAGAGAAACAGGCTGGACCTCCCTTGGTGGGACCCTCCGTGGGTACCAAATCCCCCCCAATCAGATGGGGGGAGAGGATAACGAGGGACATTGACTCCTCAGAAAACAAAAGAGAAAATTAACCCTAACACACTCTATCTACAGCTCTGCACGGCAAATCCTTAGTCGAAATAATGCAGTGTAGACACCGAGGCTGTGCCATCAGAAAATGGGTCAGGAAGATAAACTTTGTGGGTGAGTGGGGGTAGGGTGGTAGGGCATTTGGAAAAGAACAACATCCTCGTCTCATACTGGGAAGCCCAGAAAAATGCCCCAATCTGAAAAATCCCAGAAGTAGTAACTGAATCTTAATTGATTCAAAATCAGTTAAGAAAGTTCCAAGTAGTTGTCTCTGAGCAACAGGAAATGGGGGTCTGGCAGCCAGGAGGCTGCTTTATGAGAAGCCAGTTGATTCTTAAACAACTTTGTATTTATATTCATATATATATGAATGAGGGGAGAAATCACCTACTGATCGCCTACTGACTAATTCCACAAAATGTGAGGCTTTAAAAAAGCAGTAAATATGTTTGGTCAGAAGGGACACTTGACATGATTCTCAAATTTTACAATGTAGTTTACCCATCGTTATCTTCTGAAAATAATGTGTTATACCTTTCAGGAGGAACATACAGAGGACAAAAAATAAGTAGAGATCAGTGAAAAAAAGAAAAGAAACCCCACACTGAGTTCATATACAGAAGCAAATCTGATAAAGTCTGATAAAGGTGGGAGAGGTGGGCTTTCTAGTAGCCAAAGCAAAGAAACACAATTGATCTCAAGATTCAGCATCTATAGATAAAACAAGCTAGTTCCAAGGAAAGGTCTAGAGAGTTTAGGCTTTGGGGCCTGGCAGAAACAACCCCCAGTGGGTCCCCACAACACTGATCACCCCGCAGTATCCCTCACAGGGGTGCAGGTGGCATGGAAACTCCACAACTCAGCCTTCTTGAGGATGGAGTCTGCTCACAGTGGCCATGGCCAGTGTTGTCTTCTGTCACTCTCAGCTTTCCAGAGGACTCATCACTGGGGACACAGATCCCACCTTGGGACCGTCTTCTCTAAGCTTCCCTTTGCCCAGAGCCCACTGCCAGTACCCGCAGAGAGGGCCAGAGAACCTAGCCTCTTGGGCACCCCCTCTTCTTTACTCTGGGCCGGGAAGCTCTCGCATTGTGACATGTATGGAGAGCTTGGGCTTGCACAGGCCTATTTAGCAGGGGAGGATTCTGGCTATAGAAGGGTGGGACTCCTTTGGGTGTGTAGAGACCCATGTTACCTGCCTGCACAGACTAGGGCTTCCTATCCCCCAGGCATTGGGTCTTGTGATTGGGGCTGTGGATGACTCAAGAAATGGGGCTTCTCTCTGGGGTCAGCTGACCAAGAGAAAACCAAAACCACTTTGCTAAAAGTTTCCAGAAAAAGGGCCCTCCCTCACCTGAACACTGCAAGATCCTTGAGGCTCAAGCAGCCTTGAACCCAGCCTGACCACATAAAGCCCTGGGACTCAGTGGTAACGCTCTGGCCTACTGCCTCATACTTTGGCAGAGAGGAGATAAAGAACCTGGAACTCCAAAGCTCACAACTACCCAGGCCAAGCTGTGCCCTACTTCCAGCAGGTCCACCTGTCTTTCATACACTCCCCGCCCTGCCTTCCCCACAGTGCCCAGTGGAACCTTCTGGAGTTCTTTCAAAGCTGCTGTTGCTCCCAACCCCAGACATTGGGTTTGCAGGTGCAACCTGGGCAAAAGCTCCCAGGTGACCTGGAACTTAAATCTCACAGCTGTCACCACTATGGCCCGAGTTTGATCCCCAGCCATGGAGGTGACCACATGGCGCAGCAGACCTCTCCTGTCTCACCTGCTGCTCCCCTCAGCAGTGTGTTTCAGTCAATCCGCCCATTCTGCTCCCCACTTCCTCTGGTGAATCCTCTTACCGCCACCTATGATAACCTATGATAACCCCCAGTTCTTCAATTTAAAAAAAAAAAATTTTTTTTTTAACCGCCCAGGTGAATTTAATGTGTAGCACCAACCACTGTCTCGTTGGAACATTTTACCCCCCTCACCCGACAGTCCTATCCTATGTGTGCATGCTAGTGATGCCTGAAATTCTAAAGTAAATCCTAGTTTTGTCACTAACTCCACTTAAAATGCCAGCAATGTTGAGCAGTCATACACAGTCCACCAGACCGGTCTGGGTTGTTAGGTGGCCTTTCTAATGCAGAAGTAGCTAAGGGCAGGCATGAATGGGCCACTTGAGACCAGAGCTATGTTGCTCAGCCCTCTGAGGGGATGGATGGGTCCTCATCAGCTGGGGGAGCCTGAGGGCTGGAAGGCAGGCCAGCCTCCAGTGGGGCCACTTGGAAGTGCACTTAGAGACGCACAGCTTGTGACTCCATGCAAGCTTCAACTCAAATCCCACACGCTAGGCTGGCAGCCTGCCACAGCTGCATGTCAGGATGCATCAGCGGGAAAACAGGCCCTCTGGAGGCCAGAAAACATAAAGCAGTGTAGCCCAGGGACTCATGACCTTGGAAATGCCTACACCTGACCCTTAGGTGAGGCGGTCATACCTGCACTAAGGATTTGTTCTGACCACACATTAACACAACTGTTTTTCAATGATATAGTTGCCCATGTTTAATCATCTCCAGGTCTATCTTCAAAATGAGCCCACATGGGGTCCATGGGCTCACCTGGGTGGCTCTGTACCCTACCGGTGGGGTGCATGAGCTCCAAACGCCACCACTCCCTGCTTCTCAGGTAGCCTAATTCAGGTGAGTTGCCTCATCTGAGGTGGCCAGTGAGGACCAGTGTTAGCACTTCCTGTAACATTTTTTAAGACATGTTTACAAGGGCTGACTTAGATACTGGGGACAACAGCATAAGCGACCCATACCCTCTCCCAGCTCGGTCTGTGCTGAATGGTTCTGGAAGTTTCTGGGAGAAAGTGAACGTAGGCTGGGGAGTAAAGGACGTAGGTGGGAGGAGGCTGGAGGAATGAGGCAGCGCTGAGCAGCTCTGCTAACCCCTGTATCTGCTTCCAGGGCTTGGTGGTGGCTTTCCTCTACTGTTTCCTCAATGGGGAGGTGAGTCCTTGCATACCCACATTCCTGGAGCAGCTCCCCGACCCTGGGTTCCTTTAGGAGTTCCCTGGAGAGGGTAGTGGAAGGGGGATGGGGTGTTGGGGTTCCAGGCTTGGGACTGTCTTCTAGAAGTCTGAGCTCACATGACGGGAGACAAAATCTGGAGGCCTTGTTAAGATAATTGCTGGACCTTACCGACAGTGCCTAATATTAAGAAAAAACAGATACTATAAATCTGGGTTCTGAGAGTGTTTTTCCGCATGAACTCCAGGTGACTCTGATCACTGGAGAAGTTCCGGAAATGGAGGAAGTACAGGCACCCCAACCAGAACCCAGCCTCCTGACTGCGCTGCTGGGGCTCAGCGAGTGGCTGGGTCACTGCCCTTTTCTGGTCTCAGTCTTCTTATCTGTACAATGAATGACTTGGATGAAATGTGTGCAACTCAGCCCCCAGAGACCTCCAGATGAGTGTGGGCTCCTTATGGTCTCTGCCCCTGCTCAGAGCACTTGGGTCAGAACACAAGCAGCTATACCATCAACATTAAAGATGGTACTGCACACACATTGCTTTTCTGGGGCTGTTAACATCAGGTTCACCACTCTGGATGGGAAAGGTGCTTGTTTTCCCAAGATCAAGTGTTATGTCTAACCTCAAAAGTTTTGTTGTTACTGATGGGGTCTTAAGTTTGGGTTCCTAAGTTTGAGAAACGAGCACAAGTCTTCCCTTGGGGGCATTCAGGGTATGACTGCAGAGAGCACCCAAGGGGCCTGTTTGCCTCCATACCTAGTGGCTAAAACAGGCCAATCTGAGTGTTCTGCAGAAGAGTAAGCATGGCAGCAGGCAGAATGGCAGGCCCATGTGGAGGGAGTCATCACTGAGCACAAGGCTGATGGCCTGTCTCTTGGCAGGTGCAGCTGGAGGTTCAGAAGAAGTGGCACCAGTGGCAGTTCTGGGAGTTCCCACTGCACCCCATGGCCCTCAGCTCCTCCATCAGCAATGGCACTAGTGGCCTCACCCACAGCACCAAGGCCAGCACCTCGGACCAAAGCAGGGGCTCTCACCGGGCCAGTGTCATCTGAGAAGCTGGAGCAGGGCCACCCACGACCCGGGCTGATGTGGACCCTAGACACTGCTGCTGGACAGTCAGTCAGCGTCCGGCAGCCAGTTGCCTTCTGTGACCAATGAGACCCGTCCTCAGGTCTTCAGTTGAGGGGGTTGATAATTCCTCAGAACTGTAGGAACTTGGGGCACCATGTGTGGGAAGGAGCCTGAGATTTAGTTCCATTATATTTTCCAGGAAGAGCAGACCATAGGTTCCAGGAGGCAGGCAAATAAATAATTGGAATGAGATTTAGTCTGTATTTGCCACTTTTCACCTTTAAAAAATAATGGGAGGATCCTCTGGCTTAGCCCCTAGCCCCCCCTTCCTGGAGGGGGACTCCCTGATACCACCCTCCAGTTTTCAGGGACTTGGAAACCCAAGAAGCATTAAGTGGAAACCCTTGGCCCTAAGTAGAACCCCCTTCTCACCACCCCCCCCCACACACACACTGTTAATCCACTTGTCAAGCAGCCCTCTCCCTAAAGCCTCAAGACAACAGCTGAATCAATCTGTTCACATCACAGTGGAGGCCATGAGAGCTTCAGAACCCCCAACTTCCTTATAGTAACTAACATGGTAGACAGGCACCTGTCTGTCCTCACTGGCACAGGCTACTCACAGCCAAAGGCATGTGCAGCTGGAAAAGGGTCATGATTCCACTGGACAGAGAAGAAACAGGTACCTCCCCTGCAGAGACAAAGAGCTCACTCCTTTGCCCCTCTGTGGCAGCCAGAATGAATTAGGGAAGGCCAGAATTTAGATGATGCCGCAGGAGCTGGTGTCGACAACAGTAGCTGAGGGCAAAAAGCCCCACCTAGTGGGCAGAAAGGGACTGCAAAAAGGCAATCTGATGCACAAAAAAACCCAACAAAACCAACCAAAAAAAAAAAAACAAAACCCAACCCCCACCCCCGGAAAGCTCTACAAACAGGGATGGAAATCTCCACTGGTTCCTGACCTCCTTCACGTGCATTCACCCCCAGTGTGGCTGTTAATCATTACCCAAGGACTGGCCAGTCCTTTTTACCTCCTGGAATCCAGCAGGTCCATATAGATGTCTCTGAAATGTATTCTAGGGTCAAAAATGGTACTTGTGGCCATCATACCTTTAACAACACACACACACACACACACACCAAGAAGGCCTGTATTAGATGTGGGGAAACTACTGGAAGTCTTGCTCAAGAACTCTTCTTGAAGAGTCAAGATGGGATCTCAATAAACAGAATCCTCACAGTGGACAGCCAGCTGCTGAGAGCTGTGTTTATCCAGGAACCATGGATCCCACAAAGGCTGGAATCAAGTCAAAGGGTTTGGAAGCCTACGTGCAAGAAGTTGTAGGCACCCTTAACTCTGCCTCTCTTTGACCAAAGCTAGAGCCAGGAAATCTATACAAGGGCCCTTGGAGCTGATGTTGATATCCACAGCTAGCGTTCACTCTTAGCAACCCCAGGAGGCACCTCAGGGCCCCTAAGACCTGTATCCCAACATAAAGTCAATAAAACAGGTGTGAATTGCACTTGGCTGTGTATCTGGCCTGGGCACTGGGTTACCTGAGGTGCTTCCAACCTATTCCCATCCCAGGAAGGATTCAAGGAAAAAGTTTAAGTAGGGCTTCTTCTTCTTCTAAGTCAGCACCTATTTACTTGGGTAAGCCTGTGTAGCTGGTGACAGTCAGGTGTTTCCTCCTAGCCTTTGCCCTATAGACAAGCTGCAGAAGCCACTGGGTTATTTCCGGGTAACCAGTCAAAGATTATTGGTTAAGAGGCAGCAATGTAAAGGTCACTGCCCCACCTCAGCTAAAAGTCACATTTTGGGAAAGTCCCATCTTGACCATAATTTCTCATACAATTTGTTGTTCCTGGAGAAGGGCCTAAAATTTGCTTGAGTGGATCCAGGGATGGGTGATGCTGTTGATGTGAAGGCCACTGATGGCATTCAGGAAGAAGAGGAAGGAGGCCGTGAATTCACACCAGAACATCAGGGTAAAGCTGGTGAATGTGGCCTGCTTCCTGAGGAGGATCACAAAACTCAGTAGCCCCCCGAACGAGAGGATGAAAGACAGGAGGAGCAGGATGGAGCCTGCAGCCCATTTGCGCCGGGAATTGACGTCCTCACACAGCTGGGACACCATGAGAAGTTCCAGGCCAAAAATGGCAGCCACCACGGCCAAGCTGCCCAGGCTGCGGGCCAGGACCATGCCCACTGCCAGCCCAGGCATGTGTGCCTGACTCAGGTCTCTGAAGCAGTGAGGTCCAGTCTGGTTTGAGATGGTGCAGAATTGCCACAGCCCGAAGAGGCGGCCATTAGCCTGGAGCCAGTGACCATCACAGATGGAGATGGAGGCAAGAACCACAGCCAGAGCAGCACAAAGGATGATGAGGGTCCTGATGAAGGTTTCAAAGAAGGATCGGTGGGGCACTCTGGGGGCCAGCAGCCTCTGGGCGGCCTGGAAAACACCACAGAAGAAGCATGTCAGGAAGGGCCCTGCACACCCCGCCAGGCCTTTCAGGGAAGACGCTGCCCAGGGCTTCCCATCTCCTAGCCTCATTCGCTGCTCTCGTCACACATGAAGCCAGGAGGTCCCGCCTGATCTCTGGACTTCTTCCCCAGCTCCTCCTTACCTTACTTCTTTGGGGAGTCCTTCTCCCATTCTGCCTGTTCCCTGCACTCAAGACCCATGAACACTCACCGACTGCCAAGTTATTCACCAAACACTAAGAGTTCCCTGGCCTTTCTATGTTTATTGATCTCTGTGAAGAATAGAAACCCAAATCCCATTGCTCAGCAAACTGCAGTCCATTCTGAACTTTGAAAACCTGTCTGGCCAGGCTAGTGTGACCTTCAGCTTACAGCCCACCTAGGTTACAGCCTCAAAGCATGAAGCACCACATTAACATAGCCACACAAGGTTAAGTTTCCCCTCCCCAGGACTTCCTGGTTCAAGGCCAGTTTCATCCAAATCCCCACCCACCTTGTTCTGAACTTTCCATTAGGTCCAGGACTCCTATTATTACCTTGTTTTCTTCAATATTGAAAGTGGGTGTTTGCACCTTGCCCTTCAGTCTTGCTCAGCTTGGACCCCACCCAGAACTTGCAAACCAAACTGTTCACAGGCCCTGGTGCCCAACACTTAGAGGAGTGCACAGTCCATGTCTCTGCCAGGCAGGTCAGTGAGGTGCCCCTTGGCTCACAGGCCCCTCTCAACCACCAAGTCAGAAAGCAAAAGAAGTACTTCAAAGAGTTAAAGGCCTTGTCATTGCCCACAAGCCTGCCTCCCTCTCCCAATTCATTTCCTAACACACTTATCTCCTCACTTAGCTTAGGCACAGAAATCTAGAACTTTCTTCCCTCATGCCTACAGGCCTCTACAGCTAAGAGTCTCTTCCACATTTACCTCTGTCCTTCAGGATGCATTCTTTTCTTGATTCCTCATGTTGTAGCTTAAATGTCACCTCCTCAGGCCCTCCTAGTGGCACAGTGGATTAAAGTGTAGCACTGCAAGCTAGCTTCAGTGCGAGTTCAATCCCTGCCCCGGAGGTGACCCACATGGCGCGGCAGACCTCTCCTGACCTGCCCGCTGCTCCCCTCAGCAGGGTACTTGGTCAATTTGCCTGTTCTGTACCCCACTCTGTCTCTGGTGAATCCTCTCACCCCCCCCCCCCACCTCTGGCCTGTACCCCAGTTCTGTATGAATAAATAAATCTTTAAAAAAAAAATGTTACCTCCTCAATGAGGCCTTTTCTGCCTGCTCAACCTAAATCAGATCCCTCCAGTCTGGCAGGTGTCCTGTTCCTGTTCCCTTCTAATTTCTAGTTCTATTTTATAGTCTGCTTGCTCAGAGTTTCTATGTAGAGGCTGTCTCCAGCACCTGGCACATGCATTGAGTGGGTGCTCAGGAAAGACCTTGGGACCAATAAACGGTGAAGTATGCAGCCAGTGAACTTTCATCTGAAGTTCCTTCAATGTGTGTCCCGCCCACTTCTACATTACCCCTTTACAGTGTGTGGAAGCAGCCCAGGTGACACCACAGTTTGGGAGGTAAGCAAAACAGGCCTCTCATGTGTGACAGTCACTTACAGGAAACCAAACAGGGACTCCAGGGTGTACCTTATACCTTATGCAAATACAGCCTTCCCGAGGCAAGTGTGGCCACACCTCTCGGAACAGAAAACAAAGCCAAAAAGAAAAAAGCCACATTCCTAGGAGGCTCCTGGGATCAGGCCCTAGCAGGAAGGCCAGGCTGTGCTCACTTGCCCCCCTGAACAGGAGCTAACCCTAACTCCAGCTTCCAGCAGACACAGGAGTAATAAGGATTTGCAGTAGGACCTCACTTGACGTTTAACCCTTAAAGTTGATAGAGTAGGATGCTCTGTAAGTTTACAGGTCAGGTGACTTGTCCAAATTCACTCGCTTAAATCCCAAGCTGATACAGCTGTCTAGACAATTGTATAATGTGCAAGGTCTGGAATGCATTTACTCAGGACTATCTGGGGCTTTCCAAGTATAGAGCTTTGTGCTAGGGGTCAGGACCTGGACACAAATTCTGAACAGAGGCTGCCTGAGGCGCCTCTAAAGCACCATGGGTGGGTGTCCTCTTCCTTTCTAAAAGGGCTGCCAGTGCTGAAGATAGGGAGCCGGGGAAGCTGAGCAGGCAGGTTCTGGGGGTCCTTCTTCATTTCAAATACAATGGATTTCTCTTCCCTGCAGGAGACATTAAGATCTAGGCATCTGTATTAAATTATATCAGGAAAAATCGGCTCTACTGCTATTGAAACCCATTTCTACAAACCACCCTAGATACTGCTGACCCCTGCAGGAAAGCAGCCCTGAAGCCACCTGGCAAGGTTATAACACCCCTAGAGCTCGATACAGCCCTAGGGTGGGAGCGCCTCAGATAGCATAAGTCACAAGAACAGTACCCAGAAACTTTTCGACTCTAGATATCACACTGTTCTCTTCCCAACCTGGCCCCACCTTGCCAGGGCATAGACTGGACTTTACTCTCTGGTCCTCAGACATCACATGGGTCAGAAAGAGAAGACAGCTGATAGTAGTTCATTCCCCCATTCCCACTCCAAAGTCGAACTTCATTTAAACTCTGATATGGGGGCTCCCTGGTGGCACAGGGGTTAAAGTCTCAGTACAACCAAGCTATTGCCAGCCTGAGTTTGATCCAGGACCAAGGAGCTGCCCACATGGGAGCAGACCTCTTCTGAGCCACCCACTGCTCCTCTCAGCAGTGTATTTCAATGGATCTGCCTGTTGTGCTCCCCACTCTGCCTCTGGTGAATCCTCTCACCCCTGCACCTCTGCCCTATACCCCAGTTCTTATATACATAAATATAAAAATCTTTTAAAAAAGAAAAATGACTTAGTTCTTTCACACCTGCAGCCTCAGTTTGATCCCTGGCCACGGAGGTGACTCACATCTCCAGTCTGGCTTGCTGCTCCCCTTAGCGGTATATCTCAGTAGGTGTCCTGCTCTGCTCCTTACTCTGTCTCTGGTGAATCCTCTTACACCCAAAACCTTGGCCTACACCCCAACTCTTATATGCACAAAAAAATAAACTCTCTGACATGAATAAAAACCCCAAGGGTTAAATGAGATCATGTATATAAATGTGCTTGGCACTTGGTGCTATGAACATAGGTTTTCCTCTATCTGAAAGTAGAATGAGGGCCTCCTTAGTGGCGCAAGGAGCTGGGTCTCAGTGATGTCAAGCTGTTGCCAGCTATTGTGGCATGAGTTTGATCCCCAGCCAGGGAGCTGGCCCATATGTTACAGCAGACCTCTCTGTCTCACCCACTGCACCCCTCAGCAGTGTGCCCAGTAGATCTGCATGTTCTGCTCCATGCTTTGTCTCTGGTGAATCCTTACCCCGCCACACCTCTGGCCTGGACCCTAGTTCTTGTATACATAAATAAATAAAATTAATCTTTAAAAAAAAAAAGGGGGGGTGGAGAATGGTCTTATTTGGTATGATCTAAGTAGGTCATTTCGGGGACATAGGAAAGCTCAAATTTTTCCCATATAAATTAATGTTAATAGTACTCTTGGGCCTCCTTCCCTCCCCCAAAGCATACCAGTAGGAACTTTCTACTTTTATGGGAAACCTGTATTAGTAACAGCAATGCACATCGATGTCTTCCCTCCGAAGTCAGTTGCACCACACCTTGGCTGCTGGTACTAGCTTTCATCTTGAAATCTCTCCTACAGGGTAGCTGGCAGCAGCATGGTCAGCTGAGGGGAAGTAGAAAGGTGAGGATAAGGGACCTACTGGTCCCTTCTGTAGGACCTTGGGCAAGTCACTTTTTTAATAAGATTTATTTATTTGTTCATACAGAACTGGGGTACAGGCGAGAGGTGTAGGGCGGTGAGAGGATTCATGAGAGACAGAGGGGGGAGCAGAACAGGTAGATCGATGAAGTACACCGCTGAGGGGAGCAGCGGGCGGGTCAGGAGAGGTCTGATCAGGAGAGGTCTGCCACACCATGTGGGATCACCTCTGGGAAGGGCAGGGATGGAACTCATGCTGAAGTGACTTTAACTTCTTAGTGCTGTGCTTTAACCGGCTGCGCCACCACGGAGGGCCCTACTTCAATCACGTTAAATCTCTGGGCTCCTTGACTTTCTCCTTTTAAAAAAAATGCAAGTACTTCCCTTTACTCTCTTTTTTAAAAGATTTATTTGTGAGTAGGAAAATTGGGGTGCAGCTTTGAGGTGGGTGTGGGGGAAGGGAGGGAATCAGACAGCACTAAGACTTAACCCCTAGGTGACCAGGGAGGCCCCTATTTCTCATTCCTCATCTGTGGTGACCTATAGAAAATGTCACTTGAAACTCCTGGGCTTCTGAGTCCTATCTCCTGTATAACTCCACCTGCTCTTCTCAAACCTCAAAACACTTTGGACAGCTCACTACTCATTCTCCACACTCCCCAGATCCAAGTCAAGCCTCATCACCATCATCAATTGGTCATTTCTCCAAGAGCTTCCTGAAGAGTTTGCCTACTGTCCTGCCCTTGAGCTGAGCTGGCCATCCCTGCCTGCAGGACCCCTGGCCATGGGGGGCAGGGACCGGCCAGTCTTCTTTTTAGCTGTTTGGCCTCTGCTAAGTTGCTTATCCTTTCTCTTACCTATAAATGGATATGGTATCTACTTCCTGTGGGGGTTGTGGGGATGTGAGTTAACACCTGTTCTCAAAACAGTGGCAGACACATAGAGGCACAGCAGCCTTCCCCCACTCCACCCCCACCCCCCACCCTGCAGGCAACATGTGCCCATCTCCCCCAGAGTCACAGTGAGGGGAGTTTAGAAAATTTAGGATGGAAGTTTTCAAAACATCAAGAAACAACTGAACTGGACCCCAAAATGATAAATCCCACAAAGAATAAAACCCAGAGAGAAAGAGAAACATTCCCTGCTCTTTGCCATGCAACTCTCTTGCTGGCCAGTGTTATCTAAGCAGGTGTCTCTTCAACTCTTCTCCTTAATAAACACCAGATGTGGGCCTTCCCTGGTGATGCAACGGGTTAAAGCGCACACTATGAAGCCATCTGCAGCGTGAATTTGATACCAGGCCAGGGAGGTGATCCACATGGTGCAGCAGACCTCTCCGGACCCACCAGCTTCTCCTCTCAGCAGTGTATTTCAATAGATATACCTGTCCAGCTCTCTGCTCTGTCTCTGGTGAATCTCCCCCCTCCAACCCCCCCACCCATCCCCTACCTCCAGTTCCTTGTATGCATAAATAAATAAATCTTACAAAAAAAAATGAACCCCCTCTTACTCAATCTATTATCAAGGCTTTCCCTCCTTCTACTAAAGACTAGGTTCCTTCCACACTGTAACCAGTTTTGCTCCCCCCAACCGCACCCCCAAGCACAAAATCATCTACCCCCAATTAATCCTGTCAGCAGCTTTTATACCTTTTCATTTAGCACCCAAAGCTCCCCATCTTTTCTGACCCTTGTTTACAAACTGGGCTCCCCAAGAGCACCCTCAGATCTTTGAGGGCAGAGACCACACCCAGTACCACCTCCCCACCGACTGTCCCCTTCTCCCCAGGACCTGTCCCAGGAGATTGACTGGTCATGACTCAAGATTATGGCCCTGGATAAAGGGCAGAACTCGCTAGACCCGGTTGGGAACTCACTAGAAAGAGGTTGAGAGGTGAGTGGGATTTCTCCAATTAGGTAAAGGGAGGAAGGGCAAGTAGGGGCTGTAGCCCAGAGATCTGGCTTTTCACCTCCTTTCTGTCACTTAGTTGGCCCCCAGGGTCTGAGGCACTCCACCTCAGATCTTCAGTTACTTCAACTATAAAATAGTCGGAGTCAGTGCAATGGGGGTCTGAATATTTGCATGCAAAGTCAGCCGGTCTCCCTAGGAGTCAGGACAGTCCAGCTGGAAGAGAGCCTCTCCGTGAAAAAGCTTCCCGAGAAGAAAGCTTCCCCGCTGGGGTCCACCGACCGCCTTTTAAAGAGCTGCAATTCACCGCGGAGGGGTAAGAATATGTAAATTCACAGCCAACCTAAATACCAGGCACCATTCCAAAGAAACGAAATCTTCCGGGGATGCGGGCCCCTCCCCATACTGGGGGTTAGCCTCGCAACCAAGCGAGTTCATCTCCGCACCCCAAACGCAGTTCTGGACAAAAGAGGTGATCTTTTTAATCCCTACCCAAGAAAGTTTAATTCCTGCCCAAGAAAAACGCATCTTCTACGTTACATAAGGCAAAGCTCACTTAGCAAGTGGTTTCTGTCCATCCCAGCCCAGAAGTGCTTCGTTTTGGAAAACAGAGAACCCCCTCTGGAGAATCTAACTGACTTGGGGGCCACTGGTGACCCCAAAGAGAAGCAGAAAAATCCTCTCCCAGCAGTGTGGAACCGCTGGTGCTGGCAGGGCCGCGGACAGAGGCGGGGGGAACATAGCACAGCTAGAGCAATGTAGGGGTCTCCCGCCCTCACGTTGCTTCCCGCCCACAGCGCTCGCAGCCCAGCAGGCTAGTAAGCCGGACGGTCACAGCGGGGACAGCCACCCCGGGCGAGCAGCTGAAGCACGCTTTCAGTGCTCAGACCCCTCCAACCCCTTTGTGGGGCAGAGCCCTACCCAGCCCAGGGACGGCCGGCCAGCACCCCGCGGGGCCCTGGGTTCTACCTGCACGGCGATCGCAGTCATGCTGCGCCCGGGCTCGGCGGCGCTCGCACCGCGCCCGCTCCAGCAACTCGACTGCTGCCACCGGGCGGCCCTGGACCTCTCCCCGGGGGCGGAGCGGAGCGGGCGGCAGAGGGCGGCGGAGAGGGTGGGGGCCTTCTACGCGAGCTAACTCAGGGCGGGCTCCTTTGACCCCGCCGCCCTCCGCCTCCCCACTCGGTTTACGCTGAGTCAGCGGGGGAGGTGGGGAGGGCAGGATTGGGGAGAGGGTGGCGGGAACCTTGGGGGAGGATCGGGCTCGCGGGCGAGGCTCTAAGGACCGGGTCCGAGGAGGAAGAGATTCCGGGGATGAGAGCTGAGGCGGTGAGGATCGGGCTTTAAGAATAGGGCTGACAGCCGCTGGGGTTGGAAGTCACGCCCTTGATCCCCATCCTGGGACAACCGCTTTGCCTGCGGTACAGATTCTTTGAAAGCCGGGACGGCAGGGGCGGAAGATTCGGATCCAGACCCAGCTGGCCGAATCGGGTGCCAGGAGGACATGGTAGGGTGTTAGGGTTTCCAGAAGTGTGACACGCGATTCTTGACTCAAGCTTTCACCGCCTGCTCTGTGACCTTTGGCCGCTTGTTGAACATCTCTGAGCCACGGTTAATAAATGAGATAGTTGTGAAATAATCAGGATCTTGGGAGCCCGAACGAAGCAGAACCTTCTCGGACAATTCTTCAGGTAGTCGTCCCCTGAAGGAGGATATACAAACAGGCAAAAAAAATTATTCTTGACTTTGATAGGGGCTGAGTTCTCCTGGAGGCAGTATTAAATCCGCACACGCAAAGGAGATGGGATTGAGAGTGCGCAGGCGCGGGTAGCCAAAGCAGGGTCCGAGAGTAGTAAATTCCATCTAAGACTTCTCCTCCCTCCTCAGCTGTAAGAAGTGTGCATTGCTAAAACAGGTGAGAGAGGAGCTCCAAGTTAAGGCAAAGCAAGAACCTATTTCCTTAACTAAACGAGGCAAGTTAAATATTTGGCTCATCTGGCAGGAGGCAGCTCCCTTATAAAGTCACCCAAGGATATTCAAAGTCACTGCACTTTTCCACCTCAAGAGCAGAGCCTGGTGCACCGGGAAGGGGAGAAGTTACAATTGTCTCTGCCTCTCCCAGGTGAATGTTTATCTGATCACTGCCCAAGGACCTTGTAAAATCCTGTAATCCTGCCTCAGTGGATCATGCCAATGGCCTGGCCCAAAGCCTCTCACTTTCCAAGACTCCTGAGGAGCCAAGACAGACTTAACTGGCAGTGCCAGTCTAGATCTGAATTCTTGCCACCATTCCCCATCAGAATCAGCTGGAGGGCTTGTCAAATGGTTTGGAAGGCCCCACTCCAGAATTTCTGACCTCTTTGGTTTGGAGGGGGCACTACACCCGTTTTTCGAACTTGGCAGAGTTGTGCCGGCAGGTCAGGAGGCTGTGCTTCGAAAGCCAGTGATCTACTCACTGGCTGTTCTGGGTCCTTCCAACCAGCCTACCCATCTTCCCCAACCAAGGGTGCCAGAATCCAGGGCCATATTGAATGTCATTTATAACAGGTACAGGTTTCATGGACTCTGCCCCCATTCCAAATACTGGAACTACTAATCTTATCAATACCAAGGAGAAGCACGCTGGGTCATGAGGGCAGAGCTGAGCAGCCAGGTTGGGATAAAACCGGACATGTGGGCTCTGGGGGTTTCTTGGCCTGGTGGTTTGCAGCTGGTCATTTGGCTCTTGATCGGTTTTCAGCGTGCCGGTGGAGTCCAAGTCAGCATATTTCTCTCCCTCTTGCCCTGGGTTGTTCCTTTACCTTTCTCCTTGTAAGTAAATCCATGATTGAACCTTTTTGTGTGTGTCCATAATATGATTGAATCTTAAGTGCGTGGATAAGGACCCACAGACAGGCAACCCAATTCACATTGGGGTGCCCTGTAACAACTTTACAGAACCCAGAATCTCTGTGGGTGGGACAGGCTGAGTTACTGGGACCTGCAGTATTTCACCTAACTAGGAGGGGAGATAAAATGGGAATTAAAATCAGAAAATTGTCAGACTGGGTAATCCCATCCACCAGGTACCTTCTAAAATACTAAGTGTGCATGTCAGGCATGTTCAGGGATATGCTGCCTATTATGTTTTATTGGTAAGCATAGAAAGTCTTGAATCACAGGAATCAAGAGCAACTTGTTTTGTCAGCAAAATAGCTAGAGAAGCAGAAATGAGTTGGAATGACAAGGAGGAAGTCATTGTCTTATCAAGTCTTGGAACTTAGCTGGGAGTCTGGATGATTTGTTCTGAAGCCCAGGCATCATCTGTGAACTGGTTCCCTGAGCTGATCCCCTGCATTCCAAGGCCTTGGAGTGTCCCACGCACATCAGTGCTCAGGGCTTGGGATACAGTAGGATGCTGCAGTATCCACAGCACACAGCCCCAAGCCCTGGAGAGACAGAAAGGCAGGTAACTCATCAGATGATTATCTGAAGGGGCAGTGACTTCCCAGTGCTATTTGTGTCATGGCAAAGACAGGAGTTGGGGTGGGATGGCAGGGTGGAACCCCCAGGGATTAAAAATAGAAATAGGGCTCTCCCTAGTGGTGCAATGGATTAAAGTACCGCATTATGAAGCTCTCCAAAGCCACTGCAGCACGAGTTCAACCCTCCACCAGGGAGCTGATCCACATGGCGTGGCGGACCTCTTCTGATCTGCCTGCTGCTCCCCTCAGCATTGTGCTTGTCGATCTGCCTGTTCTGCTCCCCGCTCTGTCTCTGGTGAATCCTCTCACCACCCCTGCACCTCTGGCTTATACCCCAGTTCTATAAGCATAAATAAATAAATCTTAAAAAAAAAATAACAGAAATAGCTTGGTTCTGGGACAGCACAGAACCAGCACTGTTCCTAGATTTTCTCTGCCTTGTCTCCAGATGCTATGACAGAAACAGTGGTTGTCCTTTCCTTTGTACTTCTAGGCCTGCCCATGTTGGGGAAAAAGAAATGGCATAAAGGAGGGATTGGATCCCTCTCTACCCCGGCAACCCTACTTCTGCTCTGAGTCAGCCATTGTTCTTAAAACATTCCAAGGCAGGACTTAGGTACTGACCCATGAATCAACAAAACCAAAACCATTCTCTCTTGGGCCTTCTTGGTGGTAACAAGTGGTGCAGTCTCAGCTCCATGAAGCAATCACCAACCAGTGCAGCATAAGTTCAAACCTGGCCAGGGAGCTACCCACATGGCACAGCAGACCTCTCCTTTCTCTCCCACTGCTCCCCTCAGTATATTTTAATAAATCTGTTAACAGGATGGTCCCCAGGAAAAGGGGAAGTTCCAGGTTCACTACCCCACCCAGAGGAGCGTGTAGCTGAGCAGAGGAAAGAAGAGAAGAGATCTAAGGAGGAAGGAAGCAGGATGGAGAGCCAGAAGGAGACCTGAGGGAGCCACATGGAACAAAGAGAGACATGTGAAGAAACTGTGTTTACTTCTTGGCCCTGGACTGGTTGAAAGAGATGTGGGTGAGAGAGCCTGACTGACTATGGCAGTGTTTATGTTGATTTTGATTTTGCTCTTTTCCTCCCAGACTTGTCCGGCATTTCTGACCCTTTTCTATGGGTCCCGGCCAGAAGGTGCTTAGGCTTGTGGCGGGCTTCCAGGCCTTGCTCTGGGCCAACCCCTTTTGGGTTGACTTTTGCCCATGAGGGGATGGGTAACTTGAGATGTTTGATTTAGAAATTATATTCTTTGTGTTCCGTATTGCATACTCACTGTATTAAAGTTTCTTTTCATTAAAGTCTTACATGTTTTGTCTTGATGCAGCGGATGGCAGAACCTATTTAGAGCATGCAGGTTTGGGGTTCAGTGGTGCCCCTCTCTCCCTGCCCTGTAACAAATTCACCTGTTTGGAAATCACTCCTCAAGATATTCCTCTTTAATACTCGCCACCTCACAACACAACCACCTGGAGCCAGAATGCCGCCTCCTGCCAGGGATTGGAACTTTCAGTTTCATTCCTTGTTCTCAGGAAGGGAGATGGGAGAGGGGATGGAGGTTGAATTAGTTGCCAATATCCAGTGATTTAATCAATCATGTCTCCATTAAACCACCAGCGGACTGGGTTCGGGGAACTTCCCTGTTGGTGAACCTGTGGAGATTTGGGGAGAATGGTTTGCTGGGAGGGGACCCAGAAGGCACCCTTTCCCCCTGCCTTACTCTATACATACTCCTTCCATCTGGATATTCAACTTTGTCCTTTATCAGACCTTTTTATAGTGAACTGATATTCCAGTGAATAAAATATCCCTGAATTCTGTGAGCTGCCCCAGCAAATTGATCAAACCCAAAGAAAAGGTTGTGGAATCTGATTTCTAGCTAGTTCATCAGGAGCACAGGTAACAACCTGGGCTTGTGACTTCCACTTGAAATGGGGGGGGGGTAGGGGAGGGGGCTGAGGGTACAGCCTTATAGTATTAAACACTTAATGTGTGGGATTTGATAACATGCCTAGGTAGATAGTGTCAGAAGTGAATTCAGTTGTAGAAGTGAAAAGAATTATAGTGAATTGAATTAGTTGGTGTCCAGAGAATTGCTAGTTGTAAGAGTGGGGGACCCCCCCTTACCACACTAGAATTTTATACTAGACCCTTTAACCCCCACCCCCATTAGTTCTCTTTCCCTTTGTAGGGTAAACTATAAAAAACTAAGGACTTAGCTATGTTCAGTGGTATATTCCTGGTGCCTAGGACGGAGGCAGGCACATAGTAGGTGCTCAATAAATATTCATTTTGATTATGTACTAGGTACCCACCTATTGTCCTGGACTACGAGAAGCAAAAATGGACAGTCTACGCCAGTAGTAAAATGCTTGGGTTGTAAGGTCAAATCTGCCTCCCCTTTTTTCTTCCCCCTCTTTGCCTCCCCAGTTCTGACCACATCTTGTGTCTCTTTCTTCTCTCACACCCTTGATCCAGTCCATCCTCTCTTCTCTTCCACTCTTGACCCATCATCTCTAAGGTGAACACCTGGCTGAGGGCCTCCTTCCTGCCTGGGTTCCCTGCCT